AATACAATGAGCGTCTTGCCGAAGGAGCACAAAACACTCCAACTCAGACCCTCGCAGACAAGATTGGTCGATAGAAGGAAACTTTTTCAATCCGCCACATGACTGAACCCCGACACCAATCCAATAGACTGATAGCCATGCTGCTGAATCATGTGCCGAGGCGTTTTGAATGCTTTTTGACCGTACCATGGTTCGTCAAGTCATAAGGTCGTCCAATATCTTCCCCTCGTCCTAGAACCACTGACCATGACTACCGTTGGCTTGTGCCATACCGTACTGCTGTTGTGGCTGCTGGTAGCCTTGGTTGCTGTTGTTTTGGACAGCGTTGTGCATGTGTTGTGGAACCGAGGCGTTGCTCAAGCGGTGTGGCTGGCGATGCGGCTGCGGAGAGAGAATGCTCGGGCCGTAGTTGGCGTTGGACGTGTACATGGGCGCTTGGTACTGAGGGCCATATGCCGAGCTTGGCTCTGAAGGGCCCTGTGCAGTGCCAGGAGATGCGTGTCCGGAAGAAGTACGGCCTGCGTACGCAGCAAGACGGCTCTCGCGCTCAGCAACCTTGCTCATGATGCGGCGGCCGTAGGGAGTCTGCCGAATGGACGGGAGAATAGGACGCATAGCCTCAATGAGGTGGACGCACAGCTCTGCGGGCGCAAATTCGAGCGCAGTCTGTATAACGTAATTGCCGTATGAATCGCGCATGAGCTGCTCAAGCTGCTCAACGTCAAGCAGCTCCTCAATCATCATACCTTTGACATGCGGCTCAGCACAGCGAATGCACTTTTCAATGACGTTGGAGCTAAACTTTTGCTTGGACAGCTCGCAAATCTTGCCCTGGAAACCCTGGCACATGGGCGTCGTGAAGGAGGCGTCGTTGAGGTCCAAGATGTACTGAACAACATAGTTGCCAAAGGGGTCCTGAACCAAATGAAAGCTGTGCGCCGTAATCTTGCGAATGAGATCGACTTTCTGGAAGCCAGAGGCATGGTCAATGCAACGCTGCAGGACACAGCAGCCGTGGCGGTGGGTGCCGACAGTGATACAGTGTTCGCCTACAGCATCGAAGATGAACTGGGCATCTGGAGACTTGAGGTGGTTGAGGCATTTCTGAATAACGTGGTTACCGTTAAGATCTTGAATGAGATCAACAACCTGTCCGGACAAAGCGCGAATGATCATCTGCGTCTGATCGTCGGTCGAGATGAACTCAATCATCTTCTGCAGTGCGCGAGTGCCGTGCTGGTTGAATGCAATCTGAACCATGGCAGGAGCAGCGTTGCGCACAAGAGTGTTGCGCTGCTCGTCGTTGCAAAACTCCAACAGCTTCTGGCAGAGGTAGTTGCCAAATGGATCAGTCATGAGCTCAACGACGTGAGGAGCAGTTTCATCAAAGATGATTTGAATGTTTTCCGCGTTGCGCTCCTCGAGCTTCTTCTGCAGAAAGCGGCATCCGTGCTGGTCCTTGCACAAGCTGTAGATTTCCTGGCGCGGCATAGTCTTCAAATCGTAGTTCATGTACTTGTTCGCATCATTTTGCAGGCGACGGCTCTGGATGACGCGAGCCTGGCTGTCTTGAACGCGGCCTCCTGGTCCATAGGTGGCATAAGGATTGTACTGCGGGCCACTGCCATACATGCCGTTGGGGGCGTAAGCAGAAGGTCCGCCATACTGAGGCCCAGGTCCCGACGCTGGACCGAGGTTAAGGTTGTTCATCGCGCCGTTGAGCATCGATACTCCATAGCCATAATAGCTAGGGTTTGTAGCTGCAACGCCCGAGTACTGCGACATTGCTGGCGGACCGACGTTTGCTGAAGCGCCACTGTTGGGAGCAGCTGAAGCGACGGAAGGGCCGAACGGGGCAGCACTTGCGTGAACACTAGGCTGGTATTCAGACTCGCGGTTGGCCATGGACAAGTCACGGCTGTTACGATTCGAAATCGCATTTTGCGGAATACGGCCAAGGCTAGCGTTGTGGTTGTGAAAGTGCTGCTGGGCATGAGATGTGAAGCCAATACCATTCGTTCCGTTCATGCCAGCGCTGTTCTTCAAGGTTGGAACATCGTTGGTTGAGTAGGACTGAGTTAGCTTCGGCATAGCATTGGTAGGGCTAGCGAAGCTGAATTCAACGGAGCGACGGTTGTTGGCCAAGTTTTTCTTAGGCGTGGTGTCAACGTTGCCGTTGCCGTTGGATCGAGCAGAGTCATATTCGTCAACTTGAGGGGCTTTGCGGAATGTGTTAGCAGGAAGCGACTGTTGAGCCTGACGGTGACGGTAACCATTCCAGGCTGGGAACTGGGCGTCCGGGCTAGGGGGCTGGGAAAGGGCCAAATCAAGCGCAGCAGAAGACGCAGAAAGGTTCGTACCATTACCGGCGCCGTCGCGACGAACCAAGACAGGAAAGTCATCTTTGGTGTTGCCCATCTGAAGAAAGCCGTTGCGATCTTGGGAAGCATTAGTCCGGTCATCTTGCCCGAACAGAAAACCAGCCGTGTCAATGTGACCCAAGACAGAGGAAAGGTCTGGAAGGTCTGGACGACTACCGTAATCCATTCTCGTCACAGGCATAGACATGCGGTTGTTCCTGTTTGATTGTGTCAGTAGCTGTTGGGAGGTAAAGGTGAGCTGTAGTTCAACTTACTTGCGGGCCGCTGGGCTCAGCGGGGTGAAATCGTCGTTTTCAAAGTCGTCGTGGTCCTCTTCAGAGTTGCGTCGAGAACCTGGCATGGAATGAGACGGGAAATTGTTGTCGTGGCCGCTACCTTGAATGTTTGAAGGGGGAGAGGTGACTTGGGAGCTGGCGCGGCTACTGCGAGTGATCATACCTGGTGTGATGCTAGACATGCTAAACCGGTTTGGACGCGACAGTGCAGACGGAAAGCCGTTGCTTTCGCTGTACTCGGGCGGCGTTGTGGGCTGGCTATGGGCCGGCCCGCCGTACTGGGCGTCGTTGGAAAAGCGATTGGTATCAGCTTCGCCGTGCTGGGCTTGAAGGTTGAGCAGCTCCATTTCAGCGTCAAACCGCCGTTTGGCTTCTTTGAGGTACTCGTGTTCGATTCTTTTCCTCTCGAGCTAGTTGATTGTCAGACGGTGAGGCGAAGGCAGAAGCAGGTTTGTCGCAAGGCAACAGCGTCGCTCGTAGCCTAGGACTGTTGAAAGTAGAGAAAGACAAAAACAGAGATAGCAGAGAGAGAAAAAACAAGTCGTGTGCGACAAAAGAGACGTATAGTGGTGGCGCTAGCAGTGCTAGCTTGTGAGGGTTTGTTTATGTGAGAGAAAGACAAGGTGAAGGCGTTTATCACATGTTACATCGTGGGGGTACCAGTGCAAACGAACTCAGCGGATGTAACCACCCAGCCGGGTCCAGGGAAATGAAAGAGGGATGTGAAGTGAGAGGCAGCAAAAGGCTCGGTGAAGTCAACTTACCACTTGGAGCTTATGATAGGTCTGTCAGGATTGGTCGTTAGCTCCAACTCTTCTTCACCACGCATTTACACGACTAAAAAAGCATGCACGCCAAACACCCAAATCACGGCTGTGGCTTGAGCCCAAATCCATCCATGTGGTTGTGGCTGCTGCGCAACTTGAACATGCGAGGCGCCCTTGAGCGCCAGCGCCAGCACCAGCCATCAGCACCAGCTCTCTCTCATCCCCCCACCCATACTTGTATGAGAATGTCGACATACCGCAGTTGTAAATTCGGTCGGCTCTGCCGCCTGCCTACGTTGCTGGCCGATTGGAGACAATGGCGTGCTCAGGGTCGGGATGTTGTTGGTGGTGAAGCGGCGATGCAGGGTTGCGCGGCCGTCGCCATTCTGAGCGGCGCGATTCAAGGAAAAGAAGGACGAGTCTTCGCGCGGAGACCTGAGGCCGCTGCCTCCCCCGATGCCTTGGTAGGCCATGTTGAGTAGAAAACTAGAAATACACTGGGCTCCAGGTCAGCGCGAGGGTCGTGGGAGCTGGTGTGGGGGTTTGGCGGGCGGTGTGATGTTGGGGTTGGGAGAGCCGCGGCAGCAGGCCCCTCGCCCCTTGGAGTACTCCGATGGACGCAGCAGACATACATGATAATTCGTACACAGGGCAAATGCCCTTGGAGGCCTAGAGCGAGGCGCTGGAGGAGAGGGGACAGTACAGAGGTTAGACGGATACGGTGTTGGAGGGTCGGAATGTAGGGCAGGCAGGGACGGAAGTCGCTGTAGTGCGGGTCGCAGCAGCACAGCAGCAGCGCGCACTCGACGGCCTATGCACGCAACGAGTCGTGGCTAAGGGCAGGCTTGGAGAGTCTGGAAGTATTGGCCAACCGTTCAGACTTGAAGCGCCAAAGAGGCAAGTCGACAAGCAAGCACATGTGGAGCGTCGGCTTCGCAGGTCAAGGTCAAGGTGGTCAGGGTCCATCAGGGGACAGTGTGGCGCGCAGCTAGTGCTGGATGGGATTCCGCATACGTTGCGCTTCTGCTGCTGGATGCGTCCTGTGCCCGGTAGAGGTTATGGGACCCTCCAGTTCCCGCAAACCCTGTGCATGCACCATACTCGCCCCGTGAGGACGTAGTTACATAGCAGTAGTCTATTAGTAGCATCCCGCGCCAGAAACTCAGGCGTAGCTTGGGTGGGTGGGCGCCGCCTCTGATGCCAACCACGACCCGTCACTTTGCAACCAACCCCCAACCACCAACCGCCAACGGGACACGGCGGCGGTGGGCCTTTGGGCGGCGTATCAGGGAGCCAGCCATGGTTGCTTAGGCTCGGGTTGATGGCCACAGCCTCGCCATTCTCTGCCCACGGCCCACCCGACGTCGATATGCGCGGCAAACGTGCTTCTGATTGCTGCCCTCGAGCGAGTTCCAGGCCCCTGGCGTGGGATGGTGGTGCCGGCGGGTGGTGGGCGTTGCATGCCCTCACGTCATCTGGCAGCTCATAGCCAGCCGGACCGCCCATACAATCCGCGCAATGAGGGGCAGTGCAACCTCCACACGCTCAAAGCCCAGGCGGGGCACCCGTCGCCTCAGTCACGGATGCAGATGCATGCCGCCCTCGAACGGGAAGAGATGTCGTGCACGATTAGTAGTGTATAGTAGTAGACTGACTGACTGACTGAGGGGGGCCTGGGAGCTGTGTCTTGTCTAGCACTTCAAGGCTACGACGAGGGGACTGCCCGGGGTACATGGACAGTACATGCTCACACACATACTCAGACATGTACACAAATACTTGGGCAGATCCCTGGCGTCGGCCGGCTGCTGACTTTGATCTCCGCCAGCCAGTGTACATGGCAATAACGTACACATATCTGGATTGGTATCCTGCTCCTCGTTGCGACAATGTCGATCTTCTTTGACAAGAGGCGCCCCGCCGTCCAGCACAGCCGATGCGGTAAGGCGGGCTTGACCGCTCGCGTTTGCGTTTCAAGTCTGAGGGCCAGGCATTTTCCCCGCACGCCGTGCATATCCCAATCACAATGGGATACCCTCGAATCCGTGGCGCCAGCTCAAAGCATTCCGAAAGCGATGCTCCCATCGCCATGTTCACAGTGGTAACGCAGTCGAGGGGAAGAGAGGGAGCGCGAGACGGTCGCAAATGGCATCAAGTCGACAAACGGGGACTGGCAAGACGTTCTGGTCGAGTGGCTCGTAGTCGAGTAGTCAGTAGTAGTAGACTGCCCCGCGTGCGGCCAAGCTAGCCACGGACCAATCGGGCCCGGTTCCCAGCCATTGGTACTTGTCTCGACCATCCACACCCTACATGCACACAGCACATAGCATGTACACTCTTGTATACTACGCACATACCTGCGCGGCTTCCCTTCCCATTTGCTCTGCACCAAAGGCCCGGTGCACACGGCATTCGGCATAGATGCAGGGCGCCAGTCATGGTACCCTACATGGCCGTGTGCATGCATGGCTGTAGTCGCAGAGTAGGCCCATATCGTTGCGGCCAAATTCCGCCCAACAACCCCAAAAGAAACACAACCCGAGCGGCTGGCATGCTTGGGTGTGTAGATGCACTTTATTGCCGACCCGTGCCATTCGGAAGTCCGTATGCAGTATGGATTCCAGCGGATGCCGACTCTGTCTTTTTGCGGGTCGAATCTGCCAGTTGCATTATTGACCGTGGTAATTACGTCACCGCCAGACTACCCTAAAGCGACGACTATCTTCCACTTCGACTTTACCATTCTAGATATCGGGAGTACATACCATCTCGCCTTTGCCATGACTGCCAAGTCAAATCACAAGGATGCATTGCAAACACTTTGGCCTCCACTTCCCTGCTCCATATCCTAAAATGCTAAGCACTTCTGCTCTGCATTACACCTGATAAACACTGATAGAGCCCATGTACATGCTGCAGAAGAACTCTGCGTAAGTGATACACACTCTTCAGCCGAACGGTGAGCGCTCATGTAGGCAGAGCCGAGGTCTTTTCTTGACGTACTTACAGGGGCAGAGCCGGCCGAATCAAGCCCAACATTCGCGTGTTACCTTACCCCCTCTTGATCCAGCCGGATCCGCACCACTCTTGTTATCTGGGAGTGAGTGCCGGTAGTTGCCACTATATATCCATATAGGCCCCTAGCCAAACCCCACCCATCATCTGTATGCTCCATAGCCATGGCGGCAGCATTACAAAACTTGGTCAACCTTGTCGCGACATCTGCCACGCATGTTGCGCTCAATCCCATCGTGACTACCGCTCTCTTATGGATACTAACAAAGGGCCCTCTGCAACTCCGTCGTCAGCTCACCAATAGGATCCCGGCTCTTCGAGATTCAACACAATATGCGCACATTGTAAAGGCATTGAAAGTGTGTCTTGCGTTCGGAGCAGCAAGGGTTCTGAATAAACAGTTGAACCACGTAGCTCTGAATTCTGGAAGACTCCGAAGTGACAAGGCAAGGTGGAACTGGAGTCGCGAGGTTGCTGTCGTTACTGGAGGGTGCTCTGGAATCGGGGAGCTCGTGGTGAAGAGATTGATTAGCAAGGATATACGGGTGGCTATCCTGGACATTCGCCAACTACCACCGAGTCTGCAGAGCGGTAAGTCTTTACCTTTGCAGTACCGTGCATCTCATATGCTAACTGTGCTAGTCGCAAACGTCACATTCTTTGCTTGCGACATCACAAATCCAAACGCCGTCTACTCGACTGCAGAAAAAATCAAAGCGACTCTAGGCGCGCCTACGATTCTTGTCAACAATGCAGGCATTTTCGTGCCCCATACCATCTTGAACACCGATGATGACCATCTCCGGAGAATCTTTGACGTCAATGTACTCAGCAACTGGTACACCACCAAGGCGTTCCTACCGCACATGCTCCAGCATAACAAGGGCCACATTGTGACAGTTGCGAGTGCGGCGAGCTTCGTCGGCGTCGCCGGTATGGCCGATTACACAGCGACCAAGGCAGCGATTTTAAGCTTCCACGAATGTCCGTCATCTGTTCTTGTTCTCCTACGCTGCAATAAGCTGACTTGTGAGTAGCGCTCAACCAAGAACTCAGGCATAATTACAACAGCCCGAATGTGCTTACGACATCGATCCACCCCAATTGGGCGCGCACGCCTCTCATTGCATCCTTCGAGGACGAGCTCAAGAAGCGCGGCGCCTCCATCATTGAGCCCACTGCTGTTGCCGATTCAATTGTCAAGAACATCGTGAGCTGCAGTGGTGGACAGGTCATGTTGCCAAGTGATATAAGTAAAATAACTTACGTCAGGGGGTTGCCGAATTGGCTACAAGAGAGCCTCAGGAACAGTATTAGCAAGTTGATCAAAAATGGCCTGCAGTAACCAAGGGTACTATATGTTTTGGCTGCGGCGTCTTGCACACACTATCCATGGGTCGGTAGGGTATGATAGTACGGCCGCCATAGTTACTACTCTAGGGACAAGATATGTAGCTTTCGGCGGCACTCGTGCGGCGAGGCCCTTTTGTGGTGACACGGACAAGACTCGCCGACACTGAGATACCGCTTTCAGTAGGTTTGAGGAAAAAGCGTCGAAGACTGCATGCAACGTGCCGTGTACGCATGAGGTGTGTGTGGGTGCTTGCCGTACTTCCGCCGTGCTGCGGTACCATTCACACGCCTACTCCTAGTGGCTCGGTGCATCGCGCAACAAAATACCGAGACGGACGCGTCGCGTTCTCCGCCAACAAGCCACTTTTGCTTCCACTCCGAGCCAACAAAGTCCCAACCGCCATTTCCCAGTCGCATTGATTCACCACCATGGCAGAGGCACAGGATGACGTCCACATGGACACGCAGGACATTGAGGACGAGACGCCGCCCTCGGACGTCTTCATGGCGCCGTCAATTTCCAAGCCGAATCTTCTGGGTGGCCGGTCTTACTCACACTTCTCACCCATTCCCAAGCAAATTGCAGATGACATGGCACGAGAGGTTGTCTTGGGTGTCGACGAAGCAGGAAGAGGCCCCGTATTGGGTACCGCTACTCCGCCCGTCTAAGACGATGACCGTGACTGACACAATCCAGGCCCTATGGTATACGCCCTCTTCTACTTACCAATCGAACTGCACCACTCCCTCCTCGCCGAAACCCACCACTTTGATGACTCCAAGGTGCTCAAGGCCGATGTCCGGTCCGATCTCATGCGCACGCTCTGCACCAAAGGCACCGATCTCTACGAAGCCGGCGGGTGGGCAACGCGGCTGCTGTCTGCACAAGACATCTCCGCGCACATGCTGCAGCCATCCGTGTACAACTTAAACGCCCAAGCTATGGATGCGACGATTGATTTGATCAAAGAGGTCCTGGCCAAGGGGGTCAACGTCAAGGAGATATACATTGATACAATCGGCAAGCCCGAAATCTACCAGAAGAAGCTGGAGAGAATATGGCCCACCATTAGCATCACAGTCGCAAAGAAAGCCGACAGTCTATACCCAGTCGTGAGCGCAGCCTCGGTCTGCGCTAAGGTTACGCGCGATGCTGCACTAGACGTGTGCTACGAGCCCTACCATAGCCGCACCGATCCAGAGGCTGAAGATGGGGCACAGGTCCAAGCCGCGTGGGGATCAGGGTATCCATCAGACGCGCGCACCTCAGCATGGATGAAGCAGAACATGGATCCCCTCTTTGGCTGGGGTAACGAGACTCGCTTTTCCTGGGGCACAGCCAAGGAAATGCTTGAGGGGAAAAAGGCCGATGTCAGCATCGACTGGCCGGCGGATGACGATGGCAACGACATGCGGATGACGGACTTCTTCAATGGAAAAAACGAGGCAATCGGCGATGAACTTGTAGACTGGTTTGGAAAGCGAGTGACGGAAGAGATGGATGTGTTTTGATTGCCTTGAGATAACGCAAGGCATCCTTGCGCAAACAGCATTGCTACCGAAAGCGGCGAAGCACACGACACTTGTTGAACACGACCATGGAAATCTCTTTCTCGGGCACATCTTGACTCGGTGCGTAAGGCTGGTCTACACCTGTCGTCTGGGTAGAATACCCGGGCGTCTTCGTCGGTCCGTTGAGAGACTTGCACAGGCCACCAACAAGATGGGTTATCCAACGTCACATGCTCACATGCACATCGTCAGAACCAGTCAACCCACGATGACGAGTCCAAGCGCAGCCCGCGCCCTCGAAGTAAAGCCGCATTTGCTGACAAGGGAGGCCCTTTGTGGCGCTTATGTCAACAATCCGATGCGAGCCAAACTAAATAGTGCGTCTAAGCACACGCCCCTTGTTGGGACCACTTCCGTGACTACGTGTGCTTTACGTCTATGCGTCTCATTCTGCACAGAGTCCAGGCGTGCACGTATAAGTGTTGACGCTGGCTTTATAGCAGCCACTGGGCTGGATGCAGAAAGAACCTAGTCATACATAAACGCTCTTCACTTCACGTTCACGTGTAATTACCTCGCTACAAACAAACAACAGGCAGCCGCCATTTTCGCACCTTCTCCCTACCTTGCACAAAATCTTGTGACACCGCGATTGGATTTTAACACCTGCGCCAACCTTTTACAGTATCGCCGTCGGAGTATTGCCATGAAATGGTGCAGTAGAGCTTCCAACAATCACACGTCCTGGATCCATACGAGTGCGACAAATAAGCAGCATACGAAAATGTCTCGATCAAGGAGCAACGAGCCCACACCCTGCCATCGCACACAACATGATAGCGCGGCGATGCAGATTTGCGAAGCCGGACGAAGAGGTGGTGTTGCTGCACGGGGAGAAGGCAGTTATTCCACCCTACCCAGCAAACGAGACAGCAACATCCCGGCGCATCAATGTTTCCTACTCTCCGAAGACGAAGATAGCGACTGGGACCCATATCCCCCTTCGCCACCGCTCTCTCCTAAAACAGTTGTTACCGAGCCAAGATCACGATACAGCCAGCGCACAAGCACACTGCAACAATATGGCTCGGTGAAGCGGCGACCAGGCTGGAAACCGAGTCTCAAAGAGGAGTTACTACGGAGGACATCGATGGATGCCGCCATGGGCCACACAGAACCACGAGCCAGCACACAGACGGGTCGTAATAGAAGCAAAACGACAAGACTAGATTACACAGCCGAGCAAGGCATAGAGATTCCGCAACCACAACGAAGACGCGGATCAACCCTATTGCATCCTTCCTCCCCAATCATCGGGTCGGCAACATTACATGCAGATACTCCGCCAGCAGACACTCCGCCGCTACCCCAAGACCCTTGTTTCGAGAATCGTCCGAAAACTCTTCTACGCAAGGGCTCCTCGCTACTCCACCCGTCTCCACCCCTAAGCGACGCAGAATCGGAAGCCAGCATGCGAATTGCGCAGCTTAAGACTGTCTTGTCGTTTCCGCCGAGAAAGCAGTGGTGATTTTTGAGGTTCATGTAGTTATTATTATTATTGTTATTGTTGTTGTTTTTCTTTCTTTATTCACACCCATCGTCGCTTTCATTGATGATGGGTTATACGAGCGAGCGAGACTATGATAGACGCAGTTCTTCTTATGACAACAACTCCTTTTTTATGCTATTAGACACTTTTTTGTATATAGTCGTAGTGTTTTTTTTGTGAATGGCCTCTTTCTTTTTTCAAAAAAAAAAAGAGTAGTTGCCTATCGATGGTTGTGTATATAGAGTATAGACCGATTGTACCCGCATTTACTACACATTTACTACATATTTTTTTTTCTTTCTTCCACACTCGCTATCATGCTGTCTTGTCAAGTGGATTCAGAAATCAAACTCGATATCAACGATGACGATTTGGTATTCTCCTTAAACCAACCTCGTCTAACAAGGCATCGTCGGTGCTACTATATCCCAGCCATCCACTAACATATCCGTTATCCCAATCCACCCAAATCCCCACTCTCATCCTGCTGAAATAACACTAACGTCCTCGACCAAGCTATCCCTCTACACCGCACGTCTACCCCGGTACCTTACCCTCTACCCCAATTTCCCCCAGTCCGCGGAGTAAACGGGGGGGTTTAGGGGTGGCGTAAATGAACTATGTATATTGTTGGAAATCCGTGCACCATGGCATATTATTAGTTTGGGGCTGCTGTATAAGTCTTATTAGAAAGATGCGGTGTGAATGATTATGGAGCAGGGTAGATGACATCTGTGAGTTATCCTGTTGACTTGCGATGTTGTTCAGTGCGTAGGGCGATATTGGAAGATTGTGGGCGAGCAAAATGAGTGGTGGGCTTTGTTATCTTGATGGTTAACCCGCGGAGTGAGGGAGTGAGGGAGTGTGGGTTTGTTGTTCTTCCTACGCAAGCACTATCTTGTTCTAAGAGTTGAGAAGGTGTCTTTTTGAAGTTGTTAGAATGTGTTGGTTTTGGTCTTTCTGTATAACAGAGGCATGCGGATGTCGGAGATAGTGAGAAGGCTGGAGGTGATGTCTTCGGCGTGTGCAGGGAACGACATGTGCATAATGATGCTTGTATAGTTCGAGCTTTTCGCCTTTTTGAGTGGTATTTCGTAATGCTGGTCACTGACGAGATTGTTTTCGTGAGATACAACTTGCTGAGAATAAATTGTATGCAGACGAATTCCTGACCCAGACTTACGCCTCTTTGAACACTACTCAGCGCTACTATTTCTTAACTCCCTACGCAAAATGTACTGATTGTATACTAGTCAAGGTTGTAAACTGCTTGCTGACAGGGTTTGATCATTTTCCGCGATCCTTGCTTGATCTTTTCCAGAGATGTGCGACAAGACAGTGCACCAAGGGATGGCATTCAAAAACTTATTCAGCCTTGTGTTACCTGAATCTCATAGCCTCCCCCGGAATATGAAGATTTCAAAAGGCCGTTGTAAGGCTCAACCCGCCTTCGAGTTGATGGTTGTTGCAATTTCTCACCTAGCTAGAGAGCGCCCAGACTCCTCCAAAAACAATGACCCCCAAACAACATATAACCAACGCTAGGTACTCAAAAAACGTAAAAAAAAAAGAAAGATTGCATCGGCCGGGAATCGAACCCGGGGCTAGCCGAAACTGTTCTCAAGGAGAGATGGCAACGGCTAATTTTACCACTAAACCACCGATGCTAGAAACTTGGAAGGTATCGCTACCAATGTGACCTAACCAGGGGTCGAACCTGGAATCTCTTGATTTCAGATGTGAATCGTAGTCAAGCGCCTTGCCATTGGGCCATTAGGCCAAGTGATTGCTTAGTAATTTGATGGAGGTTTTTGAGATAGGAAGATTTATATCTGTCAACAATGTTCTAGACAAAGTTGAAAGCGAAAGTCGACATCTAAATCTCTGAAGAGAGAACTGTGGTGGGGTACTCATTGAAAAACTCTGGTGTCCCACCAAGTATGGCTTGGGAGGGGCCGAAATTTTCCGAGATCCGGACTCTCACTTGCCGAACGCGTAGTGGAGCATCCTTAAAATTTCTATTTTCTTTGTCTTTATTCTTTCTACTAGGAAAATACTATCTATGATGGTTGTCTAGTTGTTTCAAAGTGTTCTGGAATAAAGAGATGATTTTTTCTTCTTCCTAAAAACACTACACGAGCCATTCTTTCACTCAAGTACATTCATACGTAGCTTCGAGATATGTCTCATGTCGATTACATTCAAGGATAGTCACAATAGTGGCTGTGCAGCCAGTCTGCGTAATTATTCATGTGCTGCATTGAATAAAATAGCGCGCGACTATTGATTCCATTGTCACTCAATTTGAGCCCCAGTATTTTTAGGCGAAGGCCGCAGAGACAAGAGTTGAAATTTGAATGGAACTTCTCATCATACAATACTGAGCTCAAGTCTAGCCAAATGCAGTAAATGCAGCTGCGCTTTTGTCATTGCTATTGAATGATACGCAGAGTGAGAAAAAGAGCTTGGTACTGGTTCAACAGAAGGGTACTTTCCAATTATGTTAAGCCTATCGCAGGTAGTGTCAGGTACGCTTGCTCGACGCCGTACGTAAGGATCAACCTTATTCCCACTGATGGTACTGTTCCATGATTACCCCGGGGAATTGTCTTTACCCAATGGGTAGCGGCAATACTTTAGTTCAAAATCAATTTGATGGTTTCAAGATTTTTAAGTAATGAACGACAATATGTACTTCCTGAACTCTCTACCCACCACGGCACCCGCTATAGGTGATGACGTATGTACGAAACACGAACGACTTTATAGCCTTGACAGGGTCATTGATATAACAACTAGTGCCATTTCGGCCGACACGGCCATCCATATTGTCTTTAAGACTTTGGCATTGATATGAATTTGCGATTGTCAGCACCAGACAATATCAGGCCTCTTGAATTTGTGGATCATATATTTCATGCATCATCACCACCGTGGTTCTTAGCCCAAACCATTGCCGTGTGGTTGTTATACGGCAGGTGCATGAGGAACAAACCTGGCAATTCGGATGAAGACGCCTGCAGCTTACGTATGGAGCGCGATTTGCAGTGCAGCGACCCGTACCATTCGTTGTCGCTACCATATTCTGCATACGCGACACTAAAACCCAAGCGACATATCTTGGCCCGGTGGTACCACTAAAGGAAGATCAGAACCCAAGAGGGATGACAGTAGCCGGCGCCATGTCTTGCGGTATGCATCCATATTCCGGCAAGTTTAAAGGTACCGTGACTGAAAAGAAAACATGGCGCTCGCTCGAAAATACCCCGACTGACTCGACAGTTCCCGTCTTTGTGAGACATTCGAGAGCTGTTCCACCACGCCACCCGGCTCGTGTTCTCAATACTTCAAATTGTCCGCATGGCTTGTGTGACAATATCGTTTCTCCACAGTCCCACAAAGGTGGTCATTTCCACAGACAGCCATGTCAGCCGCCTTCTGTTATTCAAGGGGCCGAGTGAAGGATCTTGTAGCGGGATTCTGATATCCGGCTCTATCAAGACAACTCGGCCGCGGCAGCTATGGAAATAACACAGGATTTCGGGATCATCCTACGCTCACAAGTATTTAGTCCCATAGGCTACATCGTTGTTGAAGTGAGATGGCTCGAGAGCACGCGTTGTTGAGCCGACGTACGTACGTAGCGTGCCAAGAGGTGTCTTTGAGGGCTTCCCCACCACCGTATTCTCAATCTGTCAAAGGAAAAGCGTAAGCCACGATGCCCATATATCGACTTTCCCGCGGCAGATGGCAAAACTAGTTCATGTGGATCGAGATACGTGACGGGTATAGACAAGTTTGCACATTACTTTTTCCAGAAGCGTGTTTCATCGCAACGCGCTATTTTGCGAGCGTCAATTCCCACCTTGTCCGACTGCCGACACATACCAGATGACAACGGCCGAACTGCAACAAACGTATCATGGGTGCTTGAAAGGAACCAGAAACTTTACCCGGGTCTCTTACGTCCTGCATATCATAATGATGTTGGGAATTCGGAAGGATACCTGTTCGTTAACCTGCCGATCGTGAGGAAAAGCAAAGCGTTGCTCGACCACCCTTCCAGGGGGGGAAATGAGCCTCCCTCCGCGTACGCTCGAGATACACAAACCTATCTGTTCTTTTTTCGACTGTTCTTTTGGGCGCATCCTACGATATCTCCTGGCTCAAGCCCCCAAGCCACCAATCGTATCGGCGGAAAAGTGTGGTGTGGCAAATGCATAAGCATGCTTGTCCACGAGACGACAGCTTCCGCTGTGTTTATGGCGCATTGATGTGGCTATTATCCTGATCAGAATCTATGCTATCGCAGGGACGGACTTGGAGAGGTGGACCTGCAGTGGTGTATCAAAAAAAGCACATCGCTTGTCTTGGTTCGGAAAAAGCTACTTTCATGGTGCCGGGGTCAAGGCGAGCCCTGTAGAAAAGCACGCAACTGTTAAAAGTATGGGGATGCTCCGTAGCCAATCTCACACCAGCATCCAGCACCACCAGTGCCATGTTGATGTGGCTCCTTGGGACGCTAACGACCCCGTAGACCAGGGACAAGTCCTATACGCCCAAGGCTAGCATCCAGCTCCCCCACTCGCTTACCTTACATGCAGACGCCGAGCACTTGTATGGCCCGCACCGTGCATATGCTGCCCCTGGTTCATTCTAGGGACGCCGATGAGGAGCTGTGAACCATGCGTAACTACTCAGTATTACTGGGGGGTTTAAACGCCATGTTGTATCCGTCTTATGAGATACCCTCCTCTAGATACCCTGATCCCTCCACTCCAACTCCACATCCACACACTCCTTTCTTCTCTTCAAACATTCGTTTCGATATTTCTCCTCTTCTGAAGCCTCTTTGGTCAAGCCGCATAACCTCTAGCAAACGTCAGTACACCACTACATTCTCATCACACCATGGGTGGGGATGCAAGCGCAGTCTCTTCTTCAGTACTGCCTCATGCTTCACTCGCCCATGACCAGGGACCTCTTCACCTTGCTATCGTTGTCACACTTGTCTTGATCGCGCTCGTCATATATTCTTTAAGGGTATTTACACGTGCAAGGCTACTTCACTCATTTGGCTTTGATGATGGACTCATGTTTCTGGCTGCAGTATGTTAAGACTAACAACACAAGCGCTACACAACTAACATTCCCGGCAGCTGTGCGCAGTAGGCGTTTTCGTTACATTTACTGGATTAGTAGAGCTAGGTCTCGGACGAGAGGATCGAGACACTGAATCCCCAGTTGAGAGCGGACGGTTGGGTCCATGGATCTGGGCACTAAAATCAGTCTATATATTTGGGCTTGGGCTGGTAAAGCTGTCAGCCGCCTTCACGCTCTTGCCCGTGTCCAATTCCAGATTCCACGCCTATGTATACATTTGCCGTGGAGTTCTAATCATTGGGATTATGTGTAAGTTTACGCAGTAAGAAACGAGACGGAGAGGCGCTAAGCTAACGTGAATAGTCTTGATATTCTGGCATACACTTGAATGGTTCATCTCAATTCTCATTCATTGCATGCCTCTTGTCGCAGCTTGGGACTTCTCATATGGCGGGAACGCAAAGTGCATGACGCCAATCGAATCTCAGCATTGGGCTATGGCAAATTATAGTGAGTGATGCGCTCTTTACCCTTGCGAAGCTATATTGACCCTTCATACCAGTAACCAATACAACTTCCAGTCTCTTGTTGGTTATACTTGCGGTCCCTACCATTCTCGGCTCATCTTTCAAAATTGGCATCAAATTATACCTCGCACTAGCAACTGTGTTGGCGCTTTTGTACGTCCACGTCCTCTCGCTGTATGTTCAGTGCGGCTAATATCTCTACAGCGCATGCGCCATTGCTATAATACGAAGCCGAATGGTCATTGTTTACTGGGCTGAAGTAGGGGATAGAGGCAGATACGATTTGTCCTTCATGACCTGGGGCACTGTCGAACTCACGACAGCTATGATAGCCGTGAATCTTGGTACCTTGATACCTCTTGGTGGAGCTATCAAAACACCAACAACAGAGTCTCCAACTCGGCGCTCTCCCCCAAAAATCTCCGGTCCGGTAGCGGGAAGCGCTGTTCACGTATCCCATGGCGACGTTGACTCCATCTTCAATGCCGAGCCCAGCGCCTCCTCCGAATCAAAGCAGCGCAACAGTCAATACTCTGGCCGAACAATCATGTATCGCCCCAACACTGCATACTTCCCCGCAAGTTACACACACCCCAGCCTTACGCGCTTCCACGACGACGAATCAAACCTAGATTTCGACATCGAAACCCCCTCCACCCGATCGACGCGCAAACTGAGAAAACCATTTCCACCTTCCCGCTTTTCTGGATCGACAACATATACGGTTGACACGCGCCGAATAAGTGATTGGTCGCAACTAAGTGGGTTCACATACTACTCGCATGCATCGTCGCCTGAGTTCAACAACCCACAAGAGAGCAATAACAGAATGTCAGCTGGTTCAAAGGAGCTGGAAGAATTTCATATGCATTCCGGGAGAGATTCAGGGAGCGGGAGCAGTGAAGGCGATCAGAACCAAGAGATTCGTGTTGTTTCTGATGAAGAGAGAAGGAGCGGAGGGTTTCCAACTATCTTCCTGGAAGACGACGTGAGGCACCCATACAGTATCAGGGGTTAAAAAGTTGAGAAGGAAGACAGATTTGAGACTTGTGCTGGATTTTTTTTTCAAAGGCCCAGCCCAGACCGCAAAACACTCCATGCGATTAGCGACAGCGACCCAACACCTAAACGTGGGTGATTTACATACGATAACTGCATTCCCTTGTTTTCCTTTGTCATCATCAGAATCGACACTATCGGAACATTTTTCCTTACTTTGTGTCAAAGCGCCAACATATTAGAGCTCTACTCATTCACGCGAATATCTCTTATTACCATTCCTACCAACCTCCCTTAGTATATCATTAGCGCCAAATATTTAGTATCAGAACGAACATAGATCAGGATTTCGTTTTGTCATTCTCTAAGATACAATTGCACACTCCCGTGCATCCGTGATTGAAAACTCAGTGAAGAAGTTGATGCGATTAGGTCCAGCGTTTCTTGATGTACTGCGCCTGGTAGCCACCAGGTAGCTCGGTAACCCAACCATCAATGTCTTCGTTAATTACGCGCGGTACGGTGCATTTATTCATGGCAGCTGCATCTTGCGTCTTGAGCGTGGGGCAATTGACATAGCAGGGCGAGTCAAGGGCTCGCTGTAACGCCTCGTCTTTCCAACCAAAGATATAGTCGCCGTGGTTCGCAAAGCCAGTCCTGTCCCCCCCACATGTATTATTAGTAAACTGTGCTGTAAACTAGTGTAGATACTCGATTTGAAACAGGAAAAAGAAACGTACCTATCGCCGAAACTCCAGACAAACGGCTGACTACCGTCCTCGGGCCATTCAGCCAAGTCGTTGAACGCACTCGTATCCCATACGACTTCGTAGAAGAGCTGGCTCATTCGGACAGGATGGCTGGCTGGACAGGGTCCACCCGACTCAAAGGTCCCGTGTTCAGGATATGCCATGTGTGCCATGTGGTCTGGAGAATCGAGATTTTTGCCATCCCAGCAGCTAATATCGTCATTAGCAAAGAATGTGGCTTTGGAAGCATATGAGGGGAGCAGGGGCTTCCTTACGTAGGAAAGCGAACGGCTGTCATGATGCCGGTTTTACATGGTTTGTCTGGGAAATCGAGGGTTTGCGGATCGCGGGTGTCGATGTGGTCGAGACACGTGAATGTCAATTGTCTGAAGCGCTCTGCTTCTTGCTTCGAGCGTGCGTTTACGTCTCCGATGAACATCCGGAAGCCCTGGCGTAGTTAGTCGGTTAAGTTGTGCCCGATAAAGGTGCGGGCCTAGAGAATTTGACATACCGGCTGAAAGGCTTGGACCTTTGATGTTTGCTGGAAGTTATATAGTCCGTCTTGCATGTAGTATACCGTCATTCCTCCGTTGACGCCATTGAAGCCTGAGTTTGGAATTTGGGGCACGCGTTTGTATGTGCCATTTCTGGCTTTGAAGTAGCTATGGTACTTGATGTTAGGAGCTTTCTAGAGGTGGGGTTGTAGAACTTACAGAACGGCTGTCCAGTAGTTCTGCATGGAGTTTAGTGGAAGATTTTGGGTGAACATTGTGCAAGTTTCACTTACGGAGAAGTCCTCACTGAATTGGCAAGATGTGCAAGTTGACTCGCCTGGCATGTCTTTCCCCGGATCCATGGTTACGTTGAAGGAGTTCTGTGCATGCTTAGCCTTCCTGAATCACATATGGTGGATTCATGTACTCCTCCGAGGATTTGGTGAAGATGCGGAGAGGGAGCTTGACCGGGCGTGACTAGCGGGTCTAATCTATCGATGACTAGTTGGGCGCAGGGAAAGCGTAGCAGCGCTATTGCAGGAGCAGCAAGTGCAAAAATTGTAGCGTCAAAAAACCTCATGTTGTCAGAAGGTGAGATGATTTCAACCTGAATATTAGAAATGGACGAAGAGCAGGTCTTTGTCGCTGAAAGAAAGCTTGTGCTGTCTGACTGAGATTTGCAAGGCTACAAATATCAAACACGGCAATTTGAAGTCTATAGGTTGCGTTCAAAGATGATCTTTGGAACTGACGTGGGCAGCACTGCACACTATTTAGTCGCAAGATGAAAATAGCCCTTGGCTTCCCACGTGAAGAAGGCGATCATCATTGTAGGATGCATTGCTCCGATGGCCCCGAATAGCAGTGTTACTCCCCGCTATCTTTTTGAGCCAAGTGCAGTGTATGTAGTATACCAATCTACTGTGCTCGGCGTTGAGGTCTCCTGATCAGCTTTTGGTAGGTGGTTATGTCTTGGACCTCACCAACACTCCTGTTTGGTACAATGTACTTCCGGCTGCCAACCGGGAATCGCGGAGCTAGCATTGATTCATCCTGAAGATTTTCACTTTCATCAAGTGTTTCATCATATTCAGCCGTTTTTAATGATCAGCATTCGTCCAGCAGCACATGTCCTGACTTTGCTTCGGCAGTTGTACTCAACATTGGAAGGGTGGAGGACGCCCCACCTATATGGTAATCAATCATCAGAGGAGAAGACCATCACTGGCCATGTCTATACCGCATCATATTAATATTGGTGGATGTTCAGACAAGGTTGCACAAGCCTCAATCTATCCCATTTTACCCATGCGCTAAGTTGTGGGGTCTTCTCTTGGGTGCTGTCTATCACCATTGTTGGGAATTACATTTAGTTATCGTTATATCCCAATAAAATCAGGAAAGCAAACACATTTCATGATTGGAGGAATTCATGGTCCCAAGTCGGGTCTCTCGGAAGTCCCAAGGGCTTGTAACGCACACTGATGATACCGCCGTGGGGCTATGGCCGGTTGAATATCGAGATGCTGAATAGAGATACGAGAGACCATGAATAAAATATCCAGATACATTGTCATATCATCTGATGGTATCATAGCCGATGTTTGTACACTCAAATTAGCGGAATAACAGATATCCTTCTAGAAGGACAAAATTTTGCGGTACCCACGGCTTCATCACCCATTTAGCTGTCAGCTCGTAGAAAGCATTTTGTTACACCACTTGCCCCTATACAACCGCCATGAAAATCACCACCCTTCCCAGCGCTGCATGCTGGTTTTCATTCGCATCCGCTGCCTTTGATTACAATAGAGGAGGAGCGGTACTCAAGGCTCCTGACGGCGATTCGTTCCAAACAGTTGCTGGTACCTTCACCGTCCCAAAATTGTCCGGCTCGAACCGATTATCGATATGGGTTGGCATTGGTGATAGGCTGGAGCAGAATAGCATTCTAAGTGGTGGCATCGTCTACAACAGCACTCTGAAGAGTTTTGCTTCGTACTTCCCAGGCCCCGCAACAGATACAACTTCGACTGTCCCAGTCGCAAATGGCGATTCGATCACTATCACGGTCAATATCACACTGACAGGTGGTACGGTGACGATCGAGAACAATAAACAAAACAAGCGGACGACACAGTCTGTCGCAGCACCAGCAGGCACTGAGCCAACCTCGTTGACTGCCTTAGCAGCTGATTGGTTTGTTCAAGCCTACCAAGTGATTCCTGGTGAACTTGTAGCAACGCCAGACTTCGGTACGGTGTCTTTCACAGCTGTGAAGGCGACGACCAAGGGTGGAGTAGATGTACCAGTCTCAGGAGCTGGCCGATATGAGATTCAGGGAACTAGTGGACAGGTCAGCATCTATGCGAAGTCGTCTACGTACCCTAGCTAATTCTTGACTAGATGTATTCTCGAACGACAATCTCCGACGCAGGTATTTCGGTGCAGAGACAAACCGTGGGGAAGTAGATGAACGTAGAGATTTGTCATCAGGTACTACAGAGGGACTTGTCTGATCATTTAGTAGATGATTTCCATCAGCCAAGTGTATATGTGGAAGTAAGAGCTCTAGGGTCATGTCTCATCCTGGATAGATGTCTGGATATGTGCTGAATTGTAGCATGTTCATGAATAATCATCATTTATAGCGCATTATTTGGGACTGCTAATGACAATCGGAAAAAATTGAGGGTTGTTATCATTACTAAATATAAGAGTTGTGGCGAGCAGAGAATATATGATCTAAAGCTGCTGCGGGATATCGATGACGTGCCCCTCCCACTCCACACTTCCTGACGCGTCGCGACACCTCGCCCATAGCGCGTGCGACAGGCGAACAGGATGCGCTTCAAGGCATCAATACAGAACATAACAACCTTTACAAGTATATTCCCTACAATTCCTAGGTACGATAAAATCGCTGACAATTACACAGAGCTCACAGCATCGCTTAATTCGCTCGGTCCGCTTGCGTGGGTAAAACTGAGCGAGGAGCAAGTATGCTTCACAATTATACCAGAACAGGGCACCCAAGTATGGGCGTGAGTTTATTGGCTTATCGTAATTTCGCCTCTCATTCTAATCGAATACAGTGTTCTTTCTATTGTAAGCGTAGAGAAGACGAGTCGACAAAAGCAGAGCCTTAACATGTGGCGTAGGACGCCATCTTTGAAACCATCAGCGTACAATCAGCAGCAAACAATGTCATCAATCTCGAAGTACCGCTGGCATCACTGAATCGCGCTCTGAAGTCAGCAGTTAATGCGACATCAGCCCAAATACGCCTCACCAAGAAGGATAATCTGCCTATGCTAGCTCTCACCATTGTCACCACCACATCCTCCAATACATACAGCGCCTTCCCCACAAGTAACAATGATGGTTTTGGTACCGCCTTTGACAGCGACTTTGGTGGGGGAAACCGTGAAACAATCGTCACACAAGAAATACCCGTACGAGTGCTCGCGCCAGACACAGTTGCTCATTTGCACGAACCAGCCTGCAGGGAGCCAGACGTGCACATTATACTGCCGCCTCTAATGCAGCTCAAGAGTATTAGCGACAGATTTACCAAGCTGGCGCTCGCAGACACAAAGACAGGTAGCACCACTACTTCGGCTAGAACGCGCTTGGAAATCGCAGCAAACATGCACGGCTGTCTGAAGATGAGCATCAGATCAGACGCCATGAACATCTCATCCATTTGGACTGATCTCAACAATCCCGAACTAGATCCAGGTCACGTGGCAGGGGGTGAGAACGGCATTGCAGAACACCCTAGTACGCGCATGAAGCAGCTCGGGAGCGCCGATGGACGAAGCGATGAAGGCTGGGCTGTGGTACGTATTGATGGCCGTGACTGGGGCAAAGTCATGAGCGTCGGTAGACTGGGTGGGCGGGTCATTGCATGTAGGTGGCCCCATACACGGCACTTATTACCCATTATTACGCTGACTTTGCGCAGGCTTCTGCCACGAGCACGCTTTGATCTTATATGTTTACCTGCCCAACGACAATGGCGAGGATGAGTCGGTATTGACGGTAGGTTATATTGCTCTTCACTGGATTACTGAATAGGTTACTCATTTGCATATAGTACTTCATTAGCTCCTACAGCGCATAGTCATGAGTTACGAGTATCTTTCCAGTTACCATCTAGTACCACCACCCCTAGGAGAAAAAAAGACCCTGTGATCCGCATATTATTACGCAAATCTAAGCCACATTGTTGAAACTGCATCATGCAACCTCGCATTTGCCCACTGCCCACTGCCCACTCAGCCCTACCCGTCCGCGGGACCCAACTACGTAGATCAGTCATGCAAGGCGATTCAGACCCCATCAGCCAGGTAGAGTACCGCCAAACTCAAGAGCCAAACAGCGAGTTCCGAGACTATCTACATGCATTCATTTGGCTGTGCACTTCACGCTATTCGCATTAACTGTACTTCAAGCCCAAAGTGGCTTGTATCGCTCCCCCACGTTACACCAAAGTCCCAAATAAATCCCCATCCCTCGCCTACCCCCGTACACGCCCCCCATCCTCAATTACCTGTCGCCTCGTGGCGCAAGCACCAGGCGGAGCGCCCCATCCCATCGCGCCGGGAGCCCGGGAGGCGGAATTGCGGAATCGCGGCATGCGGTATCTCGGGTCCGATACGAACATGTGTTTGGCTAGAGGACGCTACTATCGAAGCTATGTAACAGTAGCAACACTCCGTGAGGCTATGAATGGTTTCCACGAACGTCCTTATCTCGCATACCTTTATTCCCTCAGGTGCCAGAAACGTAGTGCGAATGAGTCGAGATGCATCACTGAGAGAGAGTCAAACGGTGATTCCAGCATCATTCGATTTCCCGGGTATCGGGACATCATCCAAGCAAAGAAAGTTCTAGGCATCCCCCATCCCACCTCCTACTGACTTATTGCCTACAGATCCGCATATCCGCACTTCCCCCCACGTTGTCTTCCCACGCTGACAAGAAAGAGAAAGAAGAAAAAAAGCACCCAAAATAGCCCCCCCCCCCGCCTTCGCATCACAAGAAAATGACCCCAAATACCCCTTCTTTAGGCTAAGCGCAAGGCCCCAATCTGACAAGCACATTTCGGGAGATCCGAAAATAAACACAACACATGCACTCTCTCTGACCCCCCGGGCCAATGAGAAAGGCGTGGTCTATGTTGTAAAAGGGAAAAACAAAAGTAAGAGTTACCGGTTTGGGCGGAGATGCAGCGTCATGTCAGCACAAGGGGGGGGAGTCATCTATTAGAAATCAAGGTCAGTCAGCCCTACAAGCGCTTGTCGCGCTTGTTTTGATTTTGCGTGTTTCCAGACAAGGTATGTATGTAAGTGTGTGGATGGGAAGGATGATGATGATGTGGGGGGTTGGGAGAGAGAGAGAGAGAGAGAGAGGGAGAAACTATTTTTGGGGGGTGGGTTTGAGCCTCGGTTAGGTGGGCAGGCGTGATACAGAGAGCGTGCGTGCGGGACCTGCAGAGGCTTGTGGGCATGTTGCGAGATGGGCGCGTATTGAAGGAGGGGATGTGGTTGAGGCGGGAAGAGGGAAAGATGGGTGCTGGGAGGGGAGGGAGGGAGGTATGACGGGAGAGGGTTTGTTACGGGTGTAGCGATACAAAGGTATTGATTGTTATCGAGGTATCCCGAATGTTCTGCTACCAAGGTATGCAAATACTGTTCGTTCCGTCAATCGATAGCGATGGCAGCGATTTCGTGCCTTGCTGCCTGGTTCTGCACCTCGTTGTGTTCCCTGCATATGCACATTCCGACTCGCACACCCATGACTTGTTTCCGAGGCGTTGGATACCGATGGGAATCGAGGTCCAGCCATACCCTCAGGGGGTTCTCATTGCCATGTGCTTGTTGCTGGTCAGACATTCCCGGCCTCCTGGGCTGCCGCAAATGCCTGCTCGCTCGTGGCTGTCCTTGTGGTCATCCGAACATGGCGCATTTCCCAATGCCGAGTGACCGGGAAGCCGAAGGAACGTGTGAGAGCATGCAAGATGTATTGGATAAGGATCGGGAGTCAAGCTTCGAGGCGTGCATTATTTGCTGTGTGGGTGAATAAAGTCCGTGAGCGTTTTCCCCCTCCGGAAATTACTGACAGCTTTTCGTTCGGGGAGTAAATCCTTCACAGCCCTCGTGGGTGTACAGCCCGCGTTGTTTTAGCACAGGTACCTTACCGTACCAGATGAACGTTGGTTCCTGCATCCTAAAATACCAGTGTGGAGACATGGCCGTTCAGCTGAGTGCTGGCAGCGGTAGCTATACCCAATAGAGGCATATAGTCGCCCGCTATGATCATGGAGTGGGTGCTGGAGGGCAGTACAGCTGGACATTGTGCGCTGAACGTACCAGGATGCACCAGAGGCCATCACCGAAGGGCTGCACACGTCGCGGAAGGGCTGCATGACGAATGCTACCGTTCCAATTGCCCAGGCACGATTTGGCATAGGCAGGCATATGGGTATGCGGGTAGGGCTAAAGCACAAGCGCTCTGACATGCACCTGCGAGTACGTATGCTTGCGATAGTGTCGAGCAGCATCTTGACTAGTACTACAACTTGATTCGCTTGCCTCGGGCTTCTTCCAAGCCCCCCTCATCTGGGCGGCCCCGAGTCCAGAGCAATATGATGCAACGTTGCGCAGGTGTGGTTTGCACTTGGACACGGCGCGCACGACGAATTCTGGCTACGTACGTGTGGCTTGCTCAGAAGCGGCATCTTGCAAAAAAGAACATGGGCTGCTCCGATAGGATTCCTGCCATGGAGGAGTAAGAGTTGCGCAGTGCAGATGGTTATCCAAAATGGGAAGTGAAAACGGCCGGTAACGACGCTGCATGACTGTACCGAGTCGTCCAATGATACGGTAAAGTGCGCTTATGGATGAAGGAGGCCGTTCGGGGAGGAGCTCGCTTGGGCCGCTCAAGGCCATGGCGTGGGGGATGTTGGAAGAGGCATATGGTCGCTGCGAACCCAGTCGTCTTGCATCGTCATACTATTCTACTCTCGTCATTGTAAGCAGGAATTAGGAGCAGCATCAAGATGTTTGGAGCAGACTCTCGCAACTTCTGCCTTAGACATGACGAAGCACGTGTAGAATGACTCCTCTGTTCTTGTGCTTTGCAATCTGCACGACAAAGTCACCAATAAGCAGCTCTGTCCCACGTCTTTCTGCACGCTTCTGTGTAGGTAGTCAGCAAGCCAAGTTGAGCTGCGCACATTACATACGTACATACACACCCATCCACATTGTCTACCCATGTCGCTCGTCCCCCTGCTCGTCCGTGCATTTGCATCACATTGCGGCTCTCTCACCCGGCGGGTCCCTTGTTTTCACACTGCCACGCCGCCCTGGGACTTATTCCTGTCTTCCCAAGCGGAATCCCCATGGCGCGTTGCTGCGCACCCCCGCTCGCCGGCGACTAACGGCTACGGATGACTAGATCGTGGCTTGAACCAGGCCCGCGCGACCGCCACCGTTCCACCGCTGTGGTTGGGCAGGCCTAGTAGGCATGTATGGTTGCAGGATAAAAAACGATGGCCTGTGCGTATAAAGACGGTTTGGATGCCTGGCTGAAAAAGAAGGCGGAGAGAAAGCTGGGACGGATACGCAAGCTCACAAGCATCCGAGCGCCCTTTTTAATCTTCCTTCCTTTGCCCGTCCGGTTCCCGAGTGTACTATTCCTATTTCCAATCTTCCGTCGTCGTTTCTAGTCGGCCTCTTGTTTCATATAAGTCGAGTCCGCGCCTCTCTTTTTGTGTCTTGGTTTCAGTCAGACATACATTCATCCATCCTTCTCTTTTACGCCTTTCTTCAGTCATCACCAAGTGTTTCTTGTTTCACCTCCAACATCATCCACTTGGATACTACTCTGCATACTTGTCGTCTTGGCCAACACTATTTCACTCTCAAGACCTCAGTGCAAGACATCCTCATCTACGCCATCTTCCACGTCAAACAAAGTCTAAGATAGACTCCAAACACACCACGTTATCAGAAATCATCAAAGTCTCCGCAATGTCAGCATCAAACAACCAGGACGACGCCGCTACTCAAGGCCGTGGCGGATACAACTAAGACCCGAGCGGGCCGTGCCGTCAAACAATGCCGGGACTCACCTTGAAACATATCAGCATCGTCCGGGGCCTGTTCTCTCCTTCAACCTGGGTCTCAAGTCATCCACTTTGTACCATGACGATGCCATGATGAACACGATACCCTCCATTTCGGTCCTCGAACTCAACCAACCTTCGACCTCCCCATATTGACATTCTCCTTTCAACGCTTTCAACACATTCACCACACTTCATCTCTTGTATTTTTAGTTTCTTTTCCCTTTTTTGTTACCTTACCCCTCCACTTCTTCTTGTCTTTTTTTGGATTCAGGCATAGCGAGCGACGGCGTTAAGGGAAGCAAACCTTAGACATGACAGGGATACCACGGATCAAAGGCATTGCTGGGCGTTTATATGGGATACAAGGAAACATGTTGGAATACCCCCTTTTTTTTGTTGTGTTAATGAATATGTTATGCTCGGGTAAACAAAAGGAGCATATGGGTTTTTGGGATATGTCATATACAGTGAGGAGTTTTGGGAGTTTGTTGTATTTTACATCGACCTTTTATTTTTTTTTTGTTTAAATTGACACCTTTAACTGATTTTGCTCATCTCCTTGAACATTGTTAGGTTTCGACTTTGAGACTCCCAATCAGAGCAGTATGATTACGTTGGTGACTTCTTGTAGCCAATTTGTTGACTTTGCTGCTACTTGATCACATATTCTAGGCTAGCCCCATACTTTTGGTATCGCCGTTTGAGATATTTTGGAACCCTGACAAAACTGTATGAGGTTGTTACTACTTTCCAACGCAGAACCTAACAGAAAAGCAATGTTAGCGAAATGTCCATCACAAGCCTCCGCCAACGACAGCCACATATGAATGGCGGCCACCATTTTGAGGCCCCGACGATCCACAGGTGCTGTGCCACAATCGATACAGCACGGACAACGTGATGCTACAAGCGTTGTGGCTCGTCCCCAGAACGCATCCGCTTAGCCCCCCTTCAGAGCCTTACGTCTGACTTTCGGGGGGCCAAAACCAAGGAACGCCTTGAGAGTTCTTCCAGAGCGTTGCACAATGCGACCAGGCAAGGAGAAAGGGGCCAGGATAACTTACTTTTCAAAAACAACACCCAAAACTTCTTCAACATCACCGCTCTCGCCTCGGCCCGTGATACGAGCCAGGGCGTCAGCAGCCGACCGTAGACATTCGGCAGCGACCACAATGTCCACCTCATCTGTCTCATCATCGATTTTCTCACTGGTCGAAGAAGCAACCGACGACGAACTTTTGACGGTCGTGAGAAAGGCAGAGAGGTGGCTGAGACATTCGGACAGGAGAAGACGCTGACGCTCGGTTGCGCCCAAGGATTCTTGCCATATGCTTGGATCCGGATCGGGGTCAGAGTCGGGTACAAGTGCCGTAGTCATAGATTTGAAAATGTCTTGCAGAGTAGTGAGGAATGCCGGTATATTGCCAGCCGTGACCTCTTTGCAAGAAATGAAACATATTCGGTCTTCGGGTAGCCCCAGCGCAGAATGGACTTTCTGCTTCCATTTTCGTTGAATAGTGTCAAGAGCAGAAATCTGGTCGCTTTTGTTGATAGCGACTATAACATTGATGCCAATATCAGCACACTGCTTCACCGTCTCCATGACCTCAGCATCCATATCGGCTGTGGCATCCTGGACGACAATTAAGACATCCGACTCGAGGGCCCTTTGCTTAGCGCGCCTGATACCTTCTTTTTCTACAGCTCCAACCACATCACCACCCACTAGGCCAGCCCTGCGTAAGCCAGCCATATCGCCAATTTTCACAAGCCATCCGCCCATATCGAGTCCTATTTCGACAACATCTCGCGTTGTGCCAGCTTCCTGGGAGACAATGGCAGCATCTCGCCCAACGATACGATTCAGCAAGCTGCTCTTGCCTGCGTTGGGTGCTCCAAGAAGCGCGACACTAATACCGCTGCGCAGCAATTCTCCGCGTACAGCGTTGGAAATGTGTGCCTCCATCTGTGTACTCAAGACCTGGACTTGGGATGCAACGGAGGCGCATAACATTGCTGGTGATTCATCAAAGTGTTGGTCTTCGGAAAAGTCAATCAAGGCTTCTAGCTCACCCCGCGCCTCCAGTAGGAGTTGGCGCCACTTCTCATAACGCTTAGCCAACGAAGAAGTTGTGCCCCTCACGGACAGCTTACGTTGCTGCTCGGTAGAAGCTGACAATGTCTCGCCTAGCGACTCGATCTGGGGCAGGTTCATGCGATTGTTGGCAAAAGCGCGTCGGGTGAATTCTCCAGGCTCCGCATATCGGATTTGTGAGCGTTTGAATCCCGGAGTTCCTGGTACTGTTCCGCATTCAGGTATAGCTGCCAGCACTGCACGGACAACTGCTGGGCCTCCATGTACATGCAGTTCCAAAACATCTTCGCCAGTAACAGTTTTGGGCGCTGGAAAGTACAGAACAAGGGCACCCGAGTCAAGTATCGTGGCAGACGAAGGCGGTAAATGCGGGGCATATAATCTCCGGAGAGTCGCATGCCTGGACTTAGGGAATTCAGTGGAAGGACAGAGACCTTGATATACCTGGTAGGCGTTCAGCATTTCCCTATGCGACATGACATGGTGGGCCGAGGGTCACCAACCTGCCTGCATGCTGGACCAGAAACGCGAATGATGGCTATTGCAGCCCTTCCGGGAGCCGTAGAGAGCGCATAAATGGTAGAGTCTTCATGACTTGCATGGTATAGACGATGCTGCGATTTACTCAAGGTGATTTGGACATGGTGGTGGGGTTCATGGCGCAATGCTCTGGTCTGTAAGCAATTGAAGGAATTGAAGACGTAGTGACATTGAACAGTAGAATTTTGCAGTCTCGTATGACATATGCGACTGAGAACAGCGATGGTGGCTCTCATTCCGACCTGATTGATCACATGTTGGCCAATTTTGTCGCTGTTTTCAAGACGGAACATGAGCAAAGATGGAATGGTTCCACACCTCCGCAGTGGTCCGTGCACACGCTAAAATAATTTCTTGAGATCGTCGCTGGCTTGCGCCTGCGCTCCAACCTGCTCATCCTGCTCGTCCTGTGCCAGAGCGACAGAGCCTTTTCTCTTTGAACACACATACTTTGTGTTACACTACGAGTCACTCGAGGCTTCTGCGATACGTATACCAGGACGACAACAGCTTGACAGTAACGCGCCACCAACGACACCATGGCTTCGGACGACCTAGTGTGGTCCATTATCGGCACCGACTTTTGCAGTTTCAGTAGGCAATGCATACAACTCTGCATGGGAATTGAGACTGACTTGCGCTAGAGCTTAAAACAACAAAAGACCAGACCTTTTGCAGAAACGAGCACAACGTATCAGGTTACTGCTCAAAGCAGTCCTGCCCTCTTGCAAATTCTCGATACGCCACGATACGCTCCGATCCCGCGACCGGAAATCTTTACCTTTATATTAAGGCCATTGAACGAGCTCATCTTCCCTCACAATGGTGGGAGAAGATAAAACTTCCCAAGAACTATGCTCAAGCTCTCGAGCTTGTAGATCAACATCTTGCCTACTTTCCCAAGTTCCTGGTTCACAAGAACAAGCAGCGCCTCACTCGCTTGACTCAAGTGAACCTAAGAATAAGGCGGTTAGCCAAGGAAGAGGAACGCCTAGGAGAGAGGCTTGTGCCTAGACTTGCACCCAAGGTTCGCCGACGAGAGGAGGGCCGAGAACGCAAGGCACTTGCTGCTGCAAAGGTCGAGCGCGCGATTGAGCGAGTGCTGATTGAACGCCTGCGCAGCGGTGCGTATGGCGACCGACCGTAAGTTCGTCCCTTTGTTTCTGCCTCCATGCCCTGCTATGATTATCACTTTTTAACCCTGAGGTCCACTATGAGGATCAAAAAACGCAACACTCTAATTTTTTAATGAGCATCAACACATGTTGTTCTTTTAGTCATTACTGTATTTTATCCAGAGACTAACTTGAACACAGCATCAACGTCGAACCCAATGTCTGGAAACGAGTTATGCGTGGCCTGGAGAAAGAAGGCCAACTCAAAGGAGATCAAGACCTCGACGACGGTATTGAGGACGAGGATGAGGAGAATGAGTACGAGCAGGAGATGGAGAACGGTGTTGGCGAGGTTGAGTATGTCAGTGACATTGAGGGCGAATCAGATGACGAGATGGAAGACTTTGAGGATTGGATAGGAGGCCAGAGTCCAGACGACGGCACGAGCGGCGAAGATGAAGAGAGCGGTAGCGATGAAGAGGAAGAAGACGCGTCTGAAGATGAAGATACGGAGGCGCTTAAGAAAACGCTGGCCAATCTCAAGCGGAAGCGTCCCGCGGGCCCACCGCCGAAACCCAAGAAGAAGCCGTCAAAGGACTCAAAGGGCCCCAAACGGAAGATCGAATACGAAATGGAGAGGGCGCCGGCAAGAGAGGCCATGCACATTTGATACCCATATGGTTATCCTGTTGGCATTTGAGTTTGCCATTGTGAGAATAAGCGCACAATGGATTGGTGCAACATGTCTCACAATGGCTAACAGAGCAAATTATATAACAAAGATTTCAGTCCTAGACTCACCTCTTGCTTTGAACTACACCATGGCTCAGCTATATGCAATTTCAGGCAGTCTACTTCCTGCGTCAGCTACCAAGTCAGACAAAGAAGGATTTGAAGATTTGGCAAAGGCGTTGCTTAATGCAGCAAGGCCACCGATTTACAACGCAACAGAAGACATCAATGGGACGCTAGAATTGTTAGATGCGCATTCTGCTCCTGAGTGGCAGACGGGTCTCTTTGTCGGCATGGGTCTCGTCTCGCCCATATACCCTACGCTTGATACATCGACGCGCAAGTTACGCCGTGCTGGCAAACTCATGCTCCGAAAAATTGACTTTGAGAAGGAAATGCGGGCGGTACATGAAGGCGCTAGACGGGCCAACCCTGGTCCATACGAACAAGGGTTATATGACGTATCCGCGCACAATGAAGTTTCTGCGCATCTTGATATCGGCAAGAGTAACGAGTCGGCGGCCGCGCCTGAAATTCCCGACGAGCTGTTGGACCGAGTCATGCGCCCAGTTTCTTCTTCGCGAAGATGAGTCAGAGAAGGCGCAACATGTATGAGATCATTGATGGGGAACGCAGGGCATGGGGAGAGTGGTGATAGTAGTGATGATAGCAATGATGATGGATTTCTTAAACCTAAGTCATGTATTCTTTTTCACAATTGCACAAATGTAGCTTAGTCAGTAGACTGGAGACATAGGAAAATATCGGAAGGAAATTTTGGCTTTGACTAAATTCACTGGCTATACTGGTAGCCTCGTCTCGAGCGCGTGATATGTATATTTCTTTTTGGAACGGACGAACAGGGCATAGGGACAGGGGGGAGGGCTGCAATGCATGTGGTCACAGCGGTTAAGATGGAGTGTGACAAGCAGGACAGATGAAAGAGAGTCTAGTCGGATGAAGCATTCCCCACAGACCTCAAAGCTTTCCGCCCCACACTTCTGAATGCGAGCCTTGGTCACACCACACTCCATGTATCCCATGGCGACGGGGGATCTGCCCTTCAGGCGTTGTGGAAACGCCTCCAGTTGCTTGGTTCCGATAGCTCTCGAACTTTGGAAGCTTCTTCGTGTTCCCCTGCAGCGGTACCCGTGGGAGGATAGACAGGGTAGCCTACGCCTTTTGGCAAGCCGTCAAGCAAATATCTTGTGTATGCCGAAGCTTCGGTCTCTCTCTCGGCATCACAGGGTCCGGGGCAGCAAGTTGCCTTGGTAGCCTCACGAGCATCAGCCATGTCCGACATCATCGTTGCCCCGGAACTGCCCAAGACGGCAAGCCGCCCAGCTACTGCAGACGTACTTGGGGTAGCTTGGGCGAACACGCGACAAATCAAACAATCGGGGAGCCCTGGCCCACCCCAGATGGCCGGGTAGCATCTCTTACTCCGCACGCCAAACTCCACGGGGTCTGGGATCCATCCATGCTCAACGATCCAACGTCATCCGCTCAAGCAACTGTGGGGATGCCGCCGCTCAACATGGCTTGTTTGCCGCCAATCCTGGGGACATTGGTGGGCAGACACGACAGGATGCTACAAGGCCTCGTGTTGGAGACTCGCCTTTATTAAGAAGGAATCTGTCGCGCTCGTGGTCATACCTCGCTACCCACCTACTCTCATCGGCTTTGCAGTCTCACGATGAAGAAGTTCTACGGCCTCAGGGGCACGCAGCTCAATATCGCCATTGCTGTTATAGCAGGCACGGATTTTGCTCTTTTCGGTTATGGTATGTGTTTCTGCATAGTTTCACCTTGCTGGCTCGACTTCAGACTGACAATACTTCAGACCAAGGTGTTATGGGCGGTCTGCTCACACTCAAGTCTTTTGTTAGATACTTTCCCGAAATTGACAGCGTCAACCCGCCCCCAGGAAGCTCCACGAGCCATGCTGCAACAATCCAGGCCATCACTGGTTAGTATTCTACATACTCGATGTAAGCATCTGATCCTAACATTACCCAGTCGGTGCATACACCCTTGGTTGCTTTTTCGGCGCAGTCGCCACCATCTGGCTCGGAAACATGCTTGGACGCAAAAAGACCATCTTCATCGGCTCTGCTATCATGGTTATCGGCGCTATCCTCCAAACCGCATCTTATGGACTTGCTCAACTTATCGTCGGACGATGGATTACTGGTTTTGGCAACGGCATGAACACCAGTACGGTTCCAACATGGCAATCAGAAACATCCAAGCCCCATCGCAGAGGCCAAATGGTCATGATTGAAGGCTCTTTGATTGTCTTTGGTGTTATGTTGAGTTACTGGATTGATCTTGGCTTCTCGTTCCTTGAGCCCAGTAGTATCGCCTGGCGCTTCCCTATTGCCTTTCAGATCATCTTGGCTCTATTCATCATCGCCTTGATCCCGGGTCTCCCTGAAAGTCCGCGTTGGCTGGTGCTCAAGGGCCGAGAGGATGAGGCTCTAGAGGTACTAGCTGCGCTGAGCGACCTTCCTCCAACCGACAAGAAGATCGAGGCAGAGTTCCAGGCTGTCAAGGATGTTATTGCGGAAATGTCACAAGGTGGCTTCCGAGACTGCTTCAAGTTCAACAGGAACCGCAACTTCCACCGTACAGCGTTGGCTTACGTCAACCAGATGTTTCAACAGGTGAATTTCGCTGATAAAAACTCTCGTATGATATATTCTAATAGGTTGTTCTAGATTTCTGGTATCAACCTTGTCACCTACTACGCTGCTACCATTTTCGAAAACTCGATTGGTCTTTCGCCCTTCCTGAGTCGTCTCTTGTCTGCCTGCAACGGTACTGAGTACTGGATCGCGAGTTGGATTGCCATCTTCACCATTGAGAAGTTTGGTCGCCGTTCTTTGATGATATTTGGTGCGACAGGCATGTCAATTTCCATGGCCATTCTGGCTGGTGCTACTAGTAACATTGGCAACAAGAGCTTGGGATTGCTCGCGGTATGCTGCTTTACATCTTGATGCGCTTCGCACGGAACTAACGTATGCAGACTGTCATGCTTTTTGTCTTCAACTCATTCTTCGCAGTTGGATGGCTAGGCATGACATGGTTGTATCCTGCAGAGATTACCCCACTGTCCATTCGCGCCCCAGCCAACGCCATTTCCACCACAGCCAGTAAGTTTTATGCAAGAAATGATTCCAGTCTTCTACTAATCCGCTCTAGACTGGATCTTCAACTTCCTAGTCGTCATGATCACACCCCCTGCCTTTGCAAACATTGGCTACCAAACCTACATCATCTTCGCCGTCATCAACGCCGCCATTGTACCTTCCGTCTACTTCTTCTTCCCAGAAACCGCATATCGCTCCCTCGAAGAAATGGATGAAATTTTCCACAACACCACAAACGCCTTCAACGTTGTCAAAATCGCAAACGAGCTGCCGCACCGCTACGACAAGCGTGGCGAGCTTCTCATCAACTACGCGGATACGGAGCAGGCGCACGAAGCAGAGCGTAGACGCAGCTCAGTCGTTGCTGCACAGACGAGCGGGAGATCTATGGAGAAGGATATGGAGACTAAGGAGCATGTGGAGAATGGGGGTGTGCTGCATGGCTCGAAATAGGTAATGCGTTCATAGCTTATACGTGACAGAATACCATTCTGATACTGGTTCCCCTGACTAGGAAATTCTTGGATTCAATTAACTTTCACTATTGCAGTGCTAACCCCTTGGTCTAGTGTTGCTATGTTCAGTCCTCGTATGTAGTTGTCTTAGCGCCAATCAAGGTAGTGACAGCCGATGCCTTCCGCATACTCCGCATTCTCCGCACTTGGCCACACTTCCCCTCTTCTCTTGCATTCTACTAACAAGAAACAAAGAAAGAGAACGGGTACAATCATTTCTCCGTTTGCTCTATCTCACAATTGATCAAACCACTATCCAAAACTCTCCCAACAAGACCAACCAAATGTTCTTCATCCCCTTTGTCCTCTTGCTCGCAGCAGCCTGGGCCATCCTCGGCGTCCTCCTCGCAAAATGGCTCAAACAAGCAGGCTACGCGCGCCCATTCCGAGGACGAGAATACTCAGATACAGACTTATACGGGTCCGGGGTAGGAGTAGGCAGTCAAAGAGGGATACCAGATTTCGGTCAAGGTCACTTAAAGGGCGTTTAGACCCTCCTAGCATTTCATTTTCCAAGGAGGAATAATAATTCATTTTACTAACTCATACCATCCCGGGGGGGCTACGGGATTTATTACTATCTAAGGAGTCGTCACAGGAGCACCATACGGCACAGCCTTCACACTCTTGACATCCATATGGCCATAGCTCTTCCTATCCTTCTTGCTTTCCGCCCACACACCCAGATCCTTCATAAACGCTGCGTAGTTGTCCTCATCGCTAAGATCAATCGGCTGCTCATCTTTACCCAACTGCTTAATCTGCGCGCCCGCAGCCACAAGCGTAGTGCCGAAGTCGCCTTCTTCCATGCGCTGCTTGATCGTAGCGTTGACCTCGCCGGCAATGATCTGCCGTGGGAGTTCGGGTTCGAGACATACGGGGCGCGCGAGCCCGATGCCGTCGACAGTCGATAGCGCGTCAAGCATCGCAGGCACGGTTTTAAAACCGCCGGTGATGTAAGTCCGGGTTTTGGACAGCGACGGCGTGATTTTCTCGGCGAACTCAAGGAAGAAAGCCTCGCGCTTCTTGGTCGACTCGCGCTGGTGCTTGAATGCCATGTGCTCGTAGTTTCCACCAGACAGCTCTACAAAGTCAAACGTGTTGGACTCGAGGATTTGGCACAGCGTCGCTGCATCCTCGGTGTTGAAGCCTTTGTCTTGGAATTCGACAGAGTTGAGCTTGATGCCGAGGATGAAGCTGGGGGTGGTGCGTTTGCGGATTTCTTGCCCGATTTCCGTGATGATGCGGGCGCGGTTTTCGAGGGAGCCGCCGTATGCGTCGGTGCGGAGGTTGGTGGTTGGGGACAGGAATTGCGCGAGGAGGTAGCCGTGGGCGCCGTGGAGTTGGATGCCGTCGTAGCCAGCCTTCTCGAGATACTCTGCGGCGTGGGCGAAGCCGTTGATGATATTCTTAATGTCTTCCTCGGTGGCGGCGCGGGGCTTTGCGAAGCTCAAGCCCATGGGGTTGCCAGTGAGCTGCACGTCGGAGGCGGAGATGGGGTTCTTTTGGATGTCGTCTGATACTTGTCGTCCGGGGTGGGATACTTGTCCCACCATTAACGACCCATGTTTCTTGCCTTGGGTTGCAATTTCCTTGAACATTTCGAAACGTTCGCCTTCGAACTTTGCGTCGCGGGGGATAATGGGGTTGCCGGCGGCCTCGAGGTGGTCGTACTCGATCATGATGTTTCCAGTTAGGATAACGCCAAATTGGCCTTCGCCCCATCGCCGGTAGACGTTGGCCAGTTCCTTGGATGGGACACCGCGGGTCTCGAGGACATCGGGGTCGAAAGAGGATAGACGTTCAGTCATGGCGCCCTTGAGGAACCGGTTCTGGGCAGTGCGTTTGGAGAAGACAAAGTCGAGGGGCTTGCCCAATGGGGCTGGGTCCCTGGACTCTGCTTCGTATCTTTGTGATGCCATGTTGGAAATATGGAAAGAAACAATCTCTCTGGGTATCTTTGCAAAAGAAGAAACAAAATTGGTGTAGTGTAGTTGATGCTGCTCGAGAATGGATGTAAAAGGTTCTATATCTATATTTGCTGAAACGGACCAACTATGACGGAAAGTTCTAGTCTACAGAATCACGTCGTTATTAATCTAAATTCTGCTGTATTTCTAAGCCTTCCTCTGTATGTTGTCAACTATGCAAACAAGCGGATCCATAAATACGTCATAGAAAGCTTCATATGGTTGGACAATTCGGCAGTGCCATGTCGGCGAACCTGCTTCGGCAGACGTGCCTCGGCAGGGCTGCTACGGCGGATATAGGCGAATTTACCACGCGTCAATCTATAGGGTTTTCGCCGGGTTGCATTCGGGATTGGGTTAGGGTCGCTGGTGCGGACAATTGTGGGGCGGACAAGTGACCACGAAAGGTGTAGCCAGGGTAGTTGATATCGGCCCGATGAAACTTTTCGTGCCATAACCTATCGGTGGACTATCTAGGGTTCCATTGGCTGAGTGTCAAGAATACATTCAGAGTACTGAGAAAAGAAGATTAATGTGTGTAATTGGAAGTGCAGGGTGAGGTAAGAGTAAGAGGGAACATGATACACTTTCGAAATCGTGTAAACCCCATCGTCACATAGTAGTCCATGTTACGCGATTACTTAGATAACTATATATAGCGGTGAGAATGTGTTTGTTGACGAGATCTTTGACCGCTACTTTTAGAGGCATATCTATCTCGCTTATTCTCTGTTAAGAAGCAGTAAAGGATTGCCAGGTCCTCAAAGGCTAGAATCGCCTATTCTATTCACTAGATTTGAGAAAATTGCCGTCAGTGATAAAGGCGTGAGCAAAGATATTTCAGCGGAATAAGTGGATAAGAAGGAGCAAGAAGTAGGTTTACACTAGATCATACCTAGTCTATGATAACTGTTATTTAACTACTTTCATTTATATTACATCCCTTATAGGTGGCAAAGTGATTTGTTACGAGTGTTCCCTGAAGCAGATATGTATGTAATGGTTGGATAGCTAGACAGAATTCAGAAATCTAGAGGCATGAGAAGTATTACGATTAACTGCCTATTCTTTATATATTACCATGCATACAATAGAACGACAACTAACTTTTTGTATCACTTGCCATCGGCGTAAGTCCAGGATTGTATATTAAGAAGATGTGCATTCTCGTTACCATTGAAGTGACTTGTTGCTTTGAATTAGCTAAATTCATTGCTTCTGCAGCCTTATATAGGCTACGGCATATACCGTATTACAACCGATGGTACCCTGAGGTACGTCCAAGCGATAGGTTCTCAAACCCAAATTCTTACAATATAGTTTCGTAAAGCCCCTCCTTGTCGAAAATCCTGGTGTGTCAAAAACAATACATCAGGTCGCAAGGACCATGAGCTTATATGAATTTGGTGACGGCTGAAATCGTTATCGGTCCCTTTCGGTATCATTGGAAATGGCAAATTCCCCTTTACTTCGAGTGCGGCGCAAATCATGCCGAAAGGCCACAGGAAAATTGCACATATAAAGGTGTTACTCTTCCTGACGCACCTATTCTAAGGTGATATTAGCCACCCAAAATAAACGAAGACGCCTGGACAAAAAACCAAACATGAAGTTGCCGTTTATAGTCGCCTTCTCCTCTCTTGTAGTTAGCACCTCTGCTATCTGCTGTCTACTCGACCCTCAGCCCTCCGGTTGCCCATTCACGTGTAACATTAAGACTAATTGCAAATGTGTAAGTACTCTTCATCCCTAGCTTTCTCAAATAAGGACGTCTGGGTGACAAAGTAAATAGTGCTACGGTCCCGAATTACGCACATCTAAAAGCAAATGCAAGAATGACTACAAGGATTGGTGGCCTAGTTTTGATGAACCACCAGGAGTAACGGGAGCATGTCATGTGGATTCAACTAATGGTCAGGAGAATGGCGTTCGGGCGTGTGTATCTTAATGGCTCACTTGATTATACAACAAAAGGGGATCGCTTGGTCATGGCGAGGACCCGGAAAGAGAAACTGAGAGGATACGCTGATTGTGCATCCTCCGTTGTGGGTTCTTCGAGCTACGTCCTCGCCAACTGTTCTGCCCGTATCGTGAGCTGTCTTTGTATTGCCAGATCTGTAGCAACACATCCCAGACCTACTCTTACCACTGCTATCTGTGAGCCTGTACCGTGACATCCTGTCCTTGCCTTCTCGCTAGAATACAACCTCCAACGTGCCGACGCTCGAGTCTCTTTCTTCGCTCTTCAAATGCTCAAAACCTGATACAACCTGGACACAGCGTGCAGTAGGTATAGAGATAACTTCTGTCACTATGTAACGGACTGAGTGCCCTTTCCGAGACTTTTCTGACGGGAATTCAGTACTGATTCTGCTTATCTGGGCCCCACTCAGATGCTCAGGGTCTGTTCAGTTACCCCGTTTTTCGTCTGCATCTGATCACTGTTTTGGACTAGGAGCTTTGACAGGGGACGCTGGTTAGCTGCCTACCCTAAGTAAAATAGAAAATGGAGGGGCTGTTTGGTCAATTTCTATCTGATTTCTGTTCTGATCACGTTTAGGGTCACATACGTACGGGTCCACGCGGTGAGCAAGGCCACTAAAATAGGCACGAAACGGAGTTTTGAAAATTCCATAGGCCTCTAGAGGCCTAGCTAGAAAATGGAACGTGGGTAAGCACTAAACATGGCTCTTTCTTATCAGCGCCACGCTTACAAAATGGAGCTGACGGCGTCAACACGACATTTTACCGAATATAAAGCCATTTTGTATCTCCGTTTACCAGACGGTGCTCTCAATCCAGTCGGCGAACGACAAACGGATACAGAGCCGAACACACCCTTAATGCCGAGCGGAGCAACGCTCAATCCAACGGGAGAGCTTACGACGGAACGAACCACGCCGGGGTCCCTATCGAAGTAACGAATCCTACTGTGTAGATCTGTCAGTCTTCTATACTACTTAAAAGCTGCTCCGCCCTAGCATCTTTCCATACCTATTCCGAAATTCTTCTGCTCAAGTGTTATTTTTTTACAATTGTTTGCGGTTTTCTGTCGGAGTGCAAAGATGCTATCAAGGGTATTTCATCAAGGATATAAGCGATACAAGCAAAGAATAAGTTCTATAAGCAAAAGAAGCAACGAGAAAAGCATGTCTGTATGTGAGAGTAGAACAGTGGTAAATTTGGACTAGTACTATATTCCAAGCTCGCTGCAAAGCTTACCTCTACATGCTGCACCTTTCTAGAGCTCAGTTATCACAGGACAAGCACCAAGTACCGCTGCCAGTATTCTTGAAAGATTATCATCGACAAAGTCGGATATGGATATACGCGCATTTCCAGAACTAGACAAACATTACATGCTCCCCGCTCCATCCGTCTCTTCCTCCGCCTTTTTCGTCCTCTTCATTCTCTCTTCCGCAGCCCGTGCTAAGATTTCTCTCCTACTCATTCCCCCTCCACTCGTATTACTGACACTTGTCTCCCCACCCCCACTCACGCCACCCAAGGTAAACTCGCCACCGGTCCAGCCTCCATGGTCATGTACTTCTTCCTCGCCAGTAGGCTCGTAGAACTCCTCGTTACCCACACTTCTGCCTCCGCTCTTCCAGTCGTCACGGGCTACCTCGCGCTCAATCTGCTTGCATAGGTTCCAAAAATTGCGATCGTGGGGACCCCAGACGTTGTGTGCGAGCTCGTGGCATAGGGTGTTGCGGATCGTCTTGTAGTCGCGATAGCCGTCGTATGCGTCGGTCCTCAGTCGCAACTCAATGACTTCTCCTTTGTTTCGGTTCAGGCCGAGCGTGCGCGACTCTTGTGTTGTGTGCATGGCAGGATCCATCTCGGTGAGCAGCGGGACGCTGAACTTGTGTGTACGCATAGCGGCTTTGATGCCTGCATCGTCGCGTAACCGCTCAAGGAAGCGCAAGGAGCGTTCGGGATTGGGGAGGTAAGGTAGCGGACGCAGTGTGTGAAAGGTGTATTGCGCATCCTCTTGTATCTTCTTATAGTCTCGATTTCGCGCTGGTGTGGCAGCTTTTATAGGACCTGGTCGCCGGGGCGTCGAGGCAGCGGATATGGTACTATTGAGAGAGGATACCTCTTCCTTTGTGCTTCCCATCAATGTTATCTTCCTAGATGTGAGCTCCGTGAGCGGTAGCGCAGCATCTTTGAAGGGCGGCTTCTGCAGTCCGATCTTGCCGCCAACAAGGAACTTTTGATTCGACGGCGGTATTGAGAGTTCTGTCGCAACGCGTTCTGAAAGATCGGAAATAGTGGCATCTTTGGCAAAGGGGTATGCGATAGCTTTTCCATGGTGCGTGAGGGTGATTTGGATGTCGTCGCCAGAGGTTGGCGGTGCTTGGGAATTGTCCGTTTCTGCCATGATTAGGAGATTAAATAACACGTTCGCGCTCGGAAGTAAGAATGCGGTTTATATGGCTACTACTATCAGCTAAATGTTGTAAGTGGCAAGATTAGTGGTGATCAAGATGTTTGGTTTGGTAGCATGTAGTAGTTTGGCTATGGTAAGCCATACGTTGTTTCGGTGACGTTCTCGAAGGCTTCCACGACGTGATGCACTGCCATCGGCCATTTGTCATCACCAAACTCCGACTCGGTCCGTTTTACCACCATCTCCATTGTCGACGTTCAACACTAAACCCGCCAAAACAGATGCACATATCCTCTTTGGTAGTAATTATAGGATGCAAAGCTCAAATCTAGTCACTTTAGATGTAGTACTACCTTTCGCTCTCTTAGTCCCTAACTTAATTTTACATTCTACATCTGTTCTCGATAATCGTAGAAGGCCGAGAATTAGAATACCGAACCTATTTAGTAATTGTCATATTGGTTAACACGGACTATCTAAAGTGGCTAGATACATTTTTGTCTTACTAAACTTAGTGCAGTAGTCAAACAAGGAGACTATTTTGAGAAAGCCTTTCTGGCACTTAAACTTAAAGAAAGCTCCCTTCTACGAATCAGTCCATCGAAAAGAAATTAGGGTTAATTCTAAAATGGTCTTGAAAACCTAGGAGTCACCTTTGTTTACCAAACCTCGAGAGTATCTAAGTGTTTATCCTTCTTACATGATCAATCAATATTTCGATGGCTTGATGTCGAGGTCTCTTCATGCATCTCAAAGGGAGTGTAGAAGTCATTCAGAAAACGGATGCATACACCAGCGTCAATTGATTGACGCTTGATGAAAAGAGAGTTTACAGTAATTTGTTAGAATAAGTGGGTATACTAGATTCAATGTCTTAGAAAACACTAAGGCATTCCATTGATCTAACTTGCGCAAGCGGTTTCTTAGTCAGGAGAGGCGAATACTACCAAATTCCGTATGATAATATGAGTTTGCGTTTCTAAAGACATGGAATTCATATTTCATGCGGACTAGTTGATACATTGGCTTATCTCACACGATTTTCAAACAGCATTCCAATGGAAACAACTGATGCAAATTTGTGTAATCATGTTCATAGATATGCTCCTTCGTTATTCCAACGGGATATAAAACTATACTTTAATAAATACCTACATATGCAGAACCCGCGTTTAATATGCATGCCATCTATTTTCCCCAAATATATGCTGCGTGCCCCTCATTAGCCCTGATTAAATTAGCCCGACTTTGCCTCTTCATTCGCTTTCTTTGCTGCCTCCTCCTCCGCCTTCTTTGCTGCCTCCTCTGCCTGCTTCTTGCGCTCTGCTTCTTCCTTGTCAGCTACCTCTTGCGACTTGATCCACTCTCTTATCGCCGGATCCCACCGGTGCCTACAATCCTATTAGCAATACTTCTCTCATCCGAGACCGGGTCAACGTACCCATTAAACTCGGTCACTACCAAAGCCTTTTCTTGATACTCGTCTACGAGTATCTTGTCGTAATTGTATGGCACCTTAGCCACGACACCCTCGAATATGGTTTCGCGCATAGGATACAGATCTGAAGTTTGATATCGGTGATAATTCTTGCAGACCCATTCGCCAGGACGATCTTTTGGGTGTGTTTCGCTGAGCCCCGTGATGTCGATGAAAAGACCGTTGCGGGTATCGATCCACCGTGCATCGATGATGTTTGCGCCGTCGCCACGTTCGCGCTCCCATATCCATGGGTTGACGTCTAAAAGGTACTCTCGTTGTACTGTGCCGTCGTAGGATACGTATGGGTACTTTGTTTGGTTGTGGACCCTGCCGATGTGCTGTAGTGTGCCGTCGGCGACTTGGGTGTCGAGATCAAAGTCCCAGGGGAGACGCTTTGTAAAATGTAAGCCGGTATATTTTACTCGACCAAGAACAGACGCACCTTTCCGTTCCACCACCATCCTAGCAATGTTCCGTGTGCGATCCAAGTATCTAGGTCGTTTTCGCGGAAGAAGTTCAAGTAGGCACGGATCATATGTTTTTGGGTGTCAGTCCGTTCGTCGTCGGATACAATGCCTTTGAAGTAGCGTTTGTCATAGTGGCCGAGTGTCAGGCTGCCTCTAGAAGGCTGTCAGATGTGTGGCCTAGATGGTAGAGCTTTCTGTGCAAAGCAACGACACAGTGAGAGTGGGTACTTACCCAGGCTCATGGAAGTACTTTGTGCTGGGCTTCTTGTCCTCGCGCGATTCAATTCGGCCGGCTGGTGAATTTCGAACCAAAGAGGTGTTCTCCGGGGTTGGGACAGCGAGAGAGGATATGAAGAGGGATGCGGTAGCCACAGTGGCTGCACATGTGTATAAACGCATCGCGATGTAACAGATGTCTGCCTAATTAGGTACGTAATTGCGACAACCTTGGACCATCAAAGTCTTTAACAAAAAGTCCTTGTATCCCGCTGGATTAGATTGGCGACCGGGCCAGGTAGTCAGCCTGGGGTATGCAGGTATGTCGGGTTTGAAGGGTTGAAGGTTGAGATGCAACTCAGGAAGGAGGTCGCGTGCTTCGGGTGGTAACGATCGACACAGCGTGGACGGCAATCACAAATAACGTCAAGGGGAAAGGGAGCAGAAGAAACGGAGAAAAGAGACGGAGATGGACATGTAGCCGGGGAGCCGCAAAGGATTCGTAAGGCAACATGACGCACTGAACGCGACACTGAGGCCACCAGCCCGGTTGACTTGTGCCCGGACATGCCTTGCTTCAGACATTGCTGCCATGCTACCCCGGAAATTCGGCACCGTTGGAAGCGAACAAGATGTCGATTCAGGACAGTGGAGCCCTGGCAGGGAGAAGAGGATCCACTCAGATGTAGCAAATGCATGGCTAAGCTTTAGGCAAGCGAGTGATTGCCAATGATGTACCCCCACAACGGGCGGCTCGCGGCTGTGGTGGCTTGTGTCTTGCAAGTGTGAAATTGCTTGGAGGCATTTGCCGCCATTGTGCTAGATATCGTGCTGATATGTTGACGTATCTCTGCGGGGCTGCTGTCAAAAGTGATCGAACGTGCGGCGCAGGGTTGTCTGGCATGCCAATCGTGATATCGCGTCCTTGCCCAAATCGGAAAGGCCTCGTCATCGTCCATTTGGCAGCAATGGGAGCCACTTTTCCCACTACGCCAATGCTCTTGGCGGTACAAATGTTGGTTACACGCATGAAGTTGGCCTGGTCATTCTTCAAAGACAGACATGGCAATGATTCCTTTTTTCCATGCTTCAAGATGACCTATCACATACTTCAGCAGCTGTTGCCACGGTAACTGCATATCAAACTAACTTGACAACAGCGACTGTTCTCTCGCCATAGATAGGACAGCCTCTATTACTACGTACATGCCATGCTTTTTTGCTCTACCAAATACATGGGCTTTCTCAGCCTCACGCCCAAACGCTGGATTCGTCCAAGACCATAGTACGCCACAAATCAAAGAGGAAACAAAAAGGATCATCATCTATGAAACATCCATGGCATCCGTACCGTTGGCCACGGCAAAAGATACATCACCCGCATCGCCAATCAGACGCTTCTCTGACTCGGAAACAAACTGACCTTGTGTTAGCTTCAGCCTGTACAACTAGGACTTGTGAAAACCTACCTTGACGCTTCGGTTTGGGTCGTAGAAAAGCGCAAAGCTCCGCTGCACATCCTCAATCGTAACTTCGGAACCGTTCCTCTTGCCGCGTATCAGGTCAGAGGTGGTGATCAGATTGCTGGCGTACCGTAATCCAGCCTCCTGCCCGATCTTGGTAAGCAATGCTAGCGCATCTGGAGACACATCAACCTCCTCTTCTTGTGCTCTTATCGAGATGATTTGCTGCATCTCTTCCGACGAATATGGGTGCGTGTTAACAATGACAACGCGATCTAAAAAGTCCAGTGGCAGTCCGTGTGGTGACCGGTAGTCTGTTCCGCGTATCTGTGTGTTTCCTCTGTTGCTAGCCATGATGACAATGGGTGCCAGCTCGTCCTCGAGCGCACGGTTGACAAACGAGAAACACTCAATGTCGAGCATGTGGACCTCGTCGATGAACAGCACACCTGGCACAATGGTTGCCTTGCCCTCCTCTTTCCACTCGGCCACCTTCGTGTTGATTTGGTCGCGCACCTCGCTGCGGATCTCGCCTGTGTCGCCTGAGAAGAGAGCCAGGAAGCCCTGGGTCCTCGAGTTGATGACGTCGATCTCATGCAGGCTGACTGTGTGCACCACCTCGCGCCGCTGTTGCAACTCGCCTTCGGGGCACTGGACAAACTTTGTGTCAACCCCCATGGCATCGTAGTCTCGTGAGCGCGTGTAGGAGCGGCCGAGCTTGGTGATCTTGCCCGAGGCCTTGTCAATGGAGATGATGTCGCCGGCCATGACCTTTTCCTTGGTCATACCGTCAATCATCTTGGTGCCCATGTCGTAGACCGTCTCCATGTCGGTCGTCTTGATGGTTAGCTTGCCCTGCTTGTTGCTCCCAGTGACGCTGCGGTCAATCTGTATCTCGACAACCTCGCCCTCAATGACCTCGCTCTCCTCGGTTATCCGGACGCCAATCGACTTGCGGAAGGCTTGTGTGAGAGCCTCCGTCTTTGACATTTCGAGCGAGAAGATCTCGGACGAGGCCAGCATAGTAAAGGGCACGTCGGGGCCGAGGGATTGCGCCATGCCCATGGCAATGGCCGTTTTGCCTGTGCTTGGGGGGCCGGCAATCAGGACTGCGCGACCTGCAATCTTGCCGTCTCGCGCCATCTTGAGAATGACAGCCGCCGCCTTACGAGCTTTTGCCTGCCCGACCAGGCCCTGCGACGAGACTTTTGGCTCGAGCGTGTCATCGTCGACGCCGAGCCCGCGAATGTGCGAATGCGCAGCGATGAGGTTGAGCCCACGGAGCTCCTTGGTCTCGGCGATGGTGGTGATGGGCTAGGGAGGGTTAGTGGTGGGGATACATGTCGCGGAGGGGGATATGGCCGACACGTACCATGGCCATGGCGGAGTGTATTGGGGGTGGTGGTTTGAAGCTCTGGTATGCAATGGCAGCAGCAGCAGCAACAATTCGCGGTCGGCGCGCAGAGTGAAGCTCGGCGGACGCTAGTGACAGACGCACGGGCCAAGCAGGCGCGCCTCTCACGTCTCCACATCTCTTTTGGTCTAGTCAATAACCTTCGCTCTGTCCCTACCGTTGCCCCGATGCATCAGCTCGGGCAAACCCCACAACCAAACCAGTAGAGCGTACATCCGGAGACTAGGGTAAACATCCTCAGCTACCGCTTGCACTCGTTGACCATATATTTGCTTCTTCTCTCACCCTCGCCACGTAGCTACCTACACTATTTTTTCGTCTTGCTTGGCGTTGTAGCTGAGTGGGGCAAACATGCCTGATTGCCCATCCCCCTCGTCTTCCCTCATTTCCATCTTCGTCCATCCTCTGCGCTCCTTTACCTGCACTTCACTCCTCGATGACCTCACGTACGGGCAAACGGCCGCTCGAGCCGCAGTCTCGCGTGGATAGCCCTCCGAGCAAACGGAACCGCGCACACGAGCCGCGGTCAGCGCTATCAGACAAAGCCCGTTCACTCACCATTACGTCGTTGTCGTCGTCGCCGTTGTCACCGCGTGTGGCAAAACCCGTCATCAAGATTCCTAGTCCCCCACCATCGAGGAAAACCTCATGTACTTCGCTGCCAACTAACACTCCAGTGGATCCCAAAGGAACGTTTGATCGTAAATCAGTCGATTCCGTTCCTGCGAGACGTCCTCAAGAGAAACCTGGCCGAGCCGACCAAGCGTCTAGGCATGATGCACCCACCAGGTCTCCTACTCACCTAGGCAGCGGACCATCTACCCCTACTCAGCGCAATGCACCTCCCGCCCCTTCTATGTTACCGGTCGAGTCAAGCTCACACGCAAATCCCACGCCACGTCCAGACAATCCTGTCAACGACCGCAAACCCATTACTATGCAATCGCTTCGCAAACTCCGGGACAAGCGACAAGCTATAGTGGCACAGGTCAGCCCAAGTGAACTGTCCGCCTCATCAGTCACTCAAGTAGAGTTCAAACTCGAAGCTCAGCAACTGGAAATCAATCAACTGAAAAAAGAACGAGAGGAACTCAATAGCAGATTAAGGAATGTGGAGGCTGTATTCCAAAACTCTAACCGTTTAACAAACTTCACAGAGCAGCAAGAGTATTCTTCGGAGGCCTTGCAACCCATACTCACCCGCTTAGATGTGCTTGAGAAATCTTTGCTAGTTACCAAAGAAAAAGATTCACTTGAGCCTGTGGAAAATCGACTAGCAGCAGCAGAAGTTGGATTATCCAGTCTCCAAAAACGTCTAGAACAGATAGACCCCCTTTCGAACCAAGCCAATGCAAGTCTGGCCACGGCAGCAAGCAACGCTGTGACCAAAATATTTGCTTCAGAAAATGGAGTGCCCACGTTCATCAACGATAGGCTGAAGACGCTAGTGGCGGACAAAGTCAGCGAGAATGCTGCGGACATCAAGACCTCAATACGTCGGGAAATGACCGAGATGGAAACACAGTTGAACAAACGTATCATGGATGAGCGCAGATTACTTCAGAGTACTTCAGACAAGGTCAGGGATATGAAGGACTTGTCAGCAACACTAAAAGGCATCCCTCAGCAACTACAAGGCATCCGCAACACTGTTTCCAAGATCCAGTCAACCTCTGACGCGACACAGCACAAAGTCAAAGATATTGAAGAAGACATTCAGGCATTCCAGCATCATCCAAGGATCATCGAGGATCTAAAAACAGAACTGGACAAGTGTGCAAACTTTTGTAAAGGGCTAGCGAGGAGGGATCTGCCACGTCTTGAAGATTCAGAGGAAAACACAAGCCGGCGCCTGAAGAAGCTTGAGGAAAGCATACTCGATCATGCTAGACCTGACGACACCGACGGAACAACTTTGTCACGGTCAATGAGGCAGCATACAGTCATCAGACCAGTCGACGTTAGCAGCCTTGCTACACGTATAGATGATCTTGAGAGAGCATCACCAGGCATCTCTTCTTCCAGCGTAAACTCTCTTGCACAAAACGTAGAGCAGCTCGCTAAAGATTTCCTGAGCTTTCAAACTGCCCAGAAAGAGTCGAGAAGCCTAGAGACAAAACTAGCGGACGTTAACAATCGACTCGAAAGTGTTGAGCAAGTCTCACAGAAATTCGAGGCTCTAAAAGAGGATATTGTGCTAGACGAATCTCTTAAGGCTAGTCTCGCTGGACTAGATCAACACGTTTTGGAAGAACTTCGCGTTGTACGAGTAGAATCGAGAAGCTTAGAGATAAAGCTAGCGGACGTCAATAGCCGACTTGAAAGCGTTGAGCAAGTCTCACAGGGATTCGAGACTCTAAAAGAGCATATCGTGCTAGACGAATCTCTTACAGCTAGTCTCGCTGGACTGGATCAACGTGTTTCGGAAGAACTTCGCGTTGTACGGGAAGATTCGGATGCTAAGCTCGCCGGCCTGGACCAACACGTTTCGGAAAAACTTGGTGTTGTACAGGCAAAACTGGATGCTAAGCTCGCCAATATTCAGCTACTTCAGTCTAGCACTTTGTCAGAGACTGCGCCTGCAAAAGCGGAGAACGATGATTTGTCTGTCATGACCATCATGAGAGCCCTCGAGGATCAGGTCAAAATCCTACAGACTGAAGTCGACTCGCTCTCTGACGATTTCAATGAAACCGGTCAAAAGCTTCACGAGCACTCTACTGCCATTGCTATTATGAAGAATCAAGTCCCTGAACTCTTCCGGCAGCAGTTCGACCCGTTCAAGTCTAAGGTTGAAGAGCAGCTCGGCACTATCCATGGAAAATTGAGCGCACATACCAATGACATTGACAGTTTGAAGAATGTCATGTCTTTACTCCAGACAAAGACTTTGTCGAATACCCAAGCGCTGGCAACGAAAGCGGACGCAGATGCTGTGGGAACACGGACCGAGAGCATTTTGTTTGCATTGAAAGACCTCGAGCATCGATACCAAAACATTAGCACGGACGAAATGTATCAGAAAATGGTACATTGGTTTGTGCAGATGTATCCAACAAGTGCAACTTTGCTGAGAGACACAGTACGACTTCAACAAGATGTCAACCAAATCAAATCTTACTGCAACGACATCTCATGGGTTCGGAGACGCTCCGAAGTTCTAGTCGATTTGTGCCAGAATGCTGGGCAATTGCAGGTCCTTGCAAAAAGTGCTCCACAGCTACAGGCCCTCTGTCGACAGCATTCCCCACAAGTTCAGGACAAGGTCCAACAAGCACTAGTTGAAGTTGAACATCGTCTTAAAATCGACATCAATGAGCTAAAGATGATGAAGAACTCTCTTGAGCCTCAGATGTCTCAAATCGCTAGGCAGATCGCTGACATGCAAATGTCGGCGTACCAGCACCGGCGTGATTTCGACACGATTAAGGATACCCTGATCGAACCTAATAGAGACTTTTTTGGCCTATTCGGTACAGCTCTTGCTGTCTTGGCCCAAGTCCAACAGGTTGTCGAAAACTTGAATAAAAGCATACCCGGCTCCTCGCTAACGCTGGACTGGGAATGCTACCTGCCAGCACTTGTTGAACAATCAAAGGCAAACACCAACTCTGGTATCAGCGCGGAAAATGGCATGGGCAATCAATAGGCTTTTGAAGCCTACGAATGCTTCTTTGCTTGAGAGTACAGCTACACGCCCCTATCGGGTGCCGTTGTTGCTTTCAAGTTTTTTATTGGAGTTCTGGACGGAGTTTTTTTTTGGGATTTTATCCCTTCAGCATATGATACCCCTAGCTGGATGGCTTTCTGAGACTTATTTTCCGAGATGAAGTTTATGACCGAACAATTTGCCTTGTTATCAGGCGTTTTTTATTGTGGTTTTTTCTGTAATACGAGATTATCATCTCGATCACACTCCTTCACATCAGGTATATTTCGGGTTGTTTGATTTTCGAAGAAAGTTTGTTTTATTCTCACTGTTTGCCGTTGGGAATAAGTTAGTGGCAAGTGAAGGTAATAAACGGTTAAGGAAGGTAAGTGAGGAAGAACAAGGTCTGGTCTCTCGGAGATAAGCTACAACACGCTAGTTAACCCCACCCAAAAGGGTTTTGGCGCGTCAACTTCCTGAGCTCCACAGCTCCAACCGTATGTACATAGATGGATAATTCCAGACCTTGACACCCCTCAATCCAGCGATCGCACAAAAAAAACACTAAAATATCCCCACAAACCTTACAAATGGCACAAGATAACGCCCCCAACGTCACTCCCACGCACACAGACAACGACGCAGACACCTCCATGTCCGACGCCGCAACCCCCCAACCCGCACCCAAACTCGAAAAACCAGCCCACATCCTCCAACAAACAACCTTCCGCAAGCCAACCTGGTCCTACCTCCATCTAGCCCTCACATCTCCCTCCTTCCCTCCCGCAACCTCACCCCCAACAACCGACATCTCCCCCCTCCTCATCTCCCCGCTCCTCACCTCCGCCCTGCGCACATACCTAGGCACAATGGGCGCGGCGATCCCCATTGATATACTCAAGACGACGGGACGGGAAGTGTGGATACGGGTGCCGAGGCAGGATGTGCGGGGTGTGAGGGCTGCACTGGGAAGTTGGGTTGGGAGGGTTGAGGGCGAGGATGTGGGGGTTGAGGCGGGGAGGATTGGGGTTGCGTGGAGGGTGTTGGGTGGTGCTGGGGTGCTTGGGGGGATGGGGGATGGGAGTGAGGTGTTTAGGTGAGGCTGGAGGAGAGGGTGTGGGACTGGACCGGGACAAAAGAGAGAGTCTGTGGATGGTGGGCATGCGTCCCGTATCAGATGCAGGGATTGAACAATAGTGGGAAACCTTCACGAACTCTGCTATCTTTGCACTGAGTGTCGCACAGGATATGACATTGAAGAGAGAGAGGGGGGGGACACATTACTCCGAGACCAGCAAGGAACGAAAAGCAAGTGGGCTCCAATGGGAAACAAACCACACTACACGCACGTTGTTACCCAAGAACCGGAACAAAGAACAATAGCGATTCAAGTCTACACAATTTGGAAGAATGGATACGCATGGCTCTGAAGAAAAAAACTACAAGATTGCCCCCCAAACCCACGGATCAAAGAGAATCCACAAGGACAATCCTCCAGCGCTAAATTCACTCCGAACCCCCCTCTCGCATTTTCCCGTCAAGATTGGAAAAACAACTTTTGCAGCAATCTTCTCCATTTCCGTCCTGAGATGATCGTCCAAGGTTTACTGCCAGCCGGGCTGGGGCGCGTGGTGACCCTGTTGGCCGCCGTAGTTGCCTCCTTGACCTGGAGGTGGAGGATACTGTTGGCCTCCGCCGTACTGGTTCTGGTGTGTTGGGGCGCCACCATACTGGTTGTGCTGGTGGTTATCGTAGTTTCCTGGGCCGCCGTAGGGGCCAGGAGGAGCGCCATATGCAGGACCTCCGTATCCCGCTAGATATTGTTAGCTTTTATTGTATTAGTTCGAGGGATAGATTCGTACCTTGCTGGCCGTAGCCGCCAGGACCTGACGATGGTGATCCCTGACCGTAGCTAGGAGCTGGTCCACCATAACCAGACTGTCCACCGAAACCGGCCTGTGAGCCATAACCGTGTCCCTGTTGTGGCTGTGGAGTATGTTGTTGCGAGCCATAGCCACCGTGTCCCTGTCCCTGTCCCTGGTTTCCATGTCCTTGGCCGTACGACTGTCCGGGGGTAGATGAGTGGCCCGGGTGACCTTGAGGACCACCGCCGTACTGAGAACCGGGGTTGTACGAGGAGGGCGGCGCAGTGCCAGTGTACGATCCACCTGATGGGGCGCCAGAGCCGCTATAGCCGTAATCGTTGTTCGGCTTGGCGTGCTGTAGTCTGTCAGCACGTTACCTTGATACTTTGACCAGAGTCACATACAGATCCTCCTCCGCCCAACGCGCCGCTGAGCATGCCTCCAAGGCCGCCGGCAAGACCACCACCGCTCGAACCATGGCCAGAGTTGCCACCTTGCTGCCCTCCAGAGTTTCCATGCTGCTTGCCACTACCTAGCAGACCACTGGCAAGTTGGCCGACTAGTCCTCCAGCTCCACCACTACCGCTGCCACCGTGGCCGCCGGAAGAGTTTCCAGATTGCTTTCCACCTCCAAGCAGCGAACCAGCGAGTTGACCGACGAGGCCCCCAGCGCCGCCACCGCCACTACCACCGTGGCCACCGTTGTTTTGCTTGTTGCCTCCCATGAGCGCGTTCATGGCGAAGCCCTGTTCCCATTGTCAGCGAAGCCTCCCAGGTGGCTGGTTGTGTCTCGTACGCCCAATCCGCCTCCCCTGTCGCCTGTTTGTCCGTCGCCCATGCCTCTTGTTCCGTCGCTTGCGCCTGGTCCTGATGTGCCGTCTGGGCTGCTGTATGGGTTCGTGTGCTGTGCAGGAGTGCTGTGGTTCGAACTGCCGCCTATAGGCGCTTCACTAGTGGGTAGCTCCCATTGCGAAACACCAGTGCTGATCTGGACATCTGTTGTTAACGAGTCAGCACGTGTGCGGGCGTTGGCTGCCAAGGAGTCTCAGACACAGTGAACGTACAGTAGTACTTTCGGGATCTGTATGCGTGTGTCAGCGGTGTCGCGGGGGTGTGTGGTGCAAAGGCGGGGCAGGCTCAGCGACTCGTGGGAGCACTACAAGGGAAACATACGTATTGTCCCACTGGGCTATCCATCCCGCGGGAAGCTTGGGTAGCGTAGGATCGGTAGGGCCCGAGTCTGGCGAGACTGGGGGGATTGGAGGCGTCGGCACGGCCATGTTGGCGCTGTGGAGATGAGATGCGGGGTCGGGCGAGGGATGCTCTGGGGAAGCAACCAGGCGTGTGGGCGAAGGGAATGCGTGTAGGGGGGAGGATAGAGGCGAGAGAGAGGTTGTTAATGCATCGCAGACGAGCGGTTATATGGCAGGCGTGCGAACGGCCATGGGCGAGTGGACCTTGTTAGCCGTCGTAGTGGGGATTGGCCAGGGTGCTGGGAAGCTTTGCGAGGCTGTGCCCGTTGTGCCCTACGCGCAGTCCGGAAAGTGACGCACCTTCGTAGGCGCGGGCCTTTATTTTCAGCTGGCTTGCATCATTACGTCTACCATATACAGTTAACCATTTGGTCAACGGCATATTGCAACGGCGCTTGCAACGGCCGTGTCCTACATGTGGCTGAGACAGCGCCTCGTCGTCATCCTCAGCAACAACCAAGCCGCTGCCCAACCCACGAGCCCAACCCACGCCCAATACTCATACACGGATATCGTACAAAACACCTCATTCAACGCCTGTCCCATGTCCACTTTGACTTTCGTCTCACCGCGCATGCCCATCTCTTACGCCGGCGTGTCCCATAAAACATATCCCTTACGCCTTAGACCAACAACGCCTGCAAACTAACCCATAGAAAATCACCACGCATACCCACCACCATCCTCATGATCATGATCATTACCGTTCCATTCTTCGTCGCCGCTGGGCTCAGCGTCAAGAAAGTCGGCCTCGTTGAAGATCTCTTCGCGCGGGCGGAAGTTGTCAATACGGAAAATGACCGTGTGGCACCGACCCTGCACAAACAGATGCTCGTCTTCAGCTGATCCTTCGGCCTCTTCAGAACTAGACCCGTCATCGGACTCCTCGTCGTAGCTCATCGCTGCCTTGGAGCGAGACCGCAGCCGCTTCGAGCCCCAACCCTCGTCTTGCTTTTGTGCACCCGAAGGTACCAACGGCGCATCACTATCGCTATCACCGTTGTCATCCATGGTGGCTTGAGCCTCCACTGCTGTCTTCTCCGGCACGCCCTCGATGAATGAATCGATCTTGTCATCCTCGCCGCCGCCAAGCTGCGCCTTCCATTCCCGGAATGCCCGTAGCGAGGCGAGATGAGGATTCGGTGCTTCCCATTTCTTTGCAAACACTTTCTTAAACTTAGCAGTCCATGTCTGTCTGAACTCTGCCCTCTGTCGCCAATCGGTGTCTACCATTGCTATAATGGTAATTTCTTGAAGAAAAGGAAGATTCTCGGCAGAATCAATTAGCGATTTGAACAAATTGGTAGCCGATGTTGAGTTCCAGTTTCGCAGATACTGCAGGTCAAGTGTTCGCAGCGTGCATGGCCACGTAGGAATCTCATTCTCGCCCAAAAGGGTTTCGTAGAGGGGTTCGTTGTCCGAAGACATGGCCAGAGAGCTGTAGTACGTCGTGTCCATTCTCAACACTTCGAGCTTGGGACATGACCGCTTAAGATCGACAAGGAAAGACAAGTCGAGAGCTTGGTTATGATTAAGCACCAACTCTTCCAGGTGTGCACCATGCGTGGCCAAAAAGGCTTGGAACCCATCAGAGAGTAGCTCGCCGCAAGCGGTAATGTTCAGGCTGACAAGGTTGCTCGGTAACAGGGGTAGGAGCCGCCCACTGACAACTCCACACGTCTCGAATGACAGGCTCCTTAACTGGGGAAGCACGGCCAGTGCAGACGCCAATAGCTCTTCTGTCGTTGGTGGAGCTTCAACATCATCGCTATCACCTTGGCTAACTTCAGGATGGAATTTCGTCAAGGTCACATCGCGGAGACTCTGAAACGCACTATCTGTATGAATGCTTTTGATCCATAACGGGCCCTGGGTACAGAAAGCACTATTCCATCGCCAGCTTCTTAAGCGCAGGCTCGTTTGGCGTAGGGCGTCAAAAAGCTCACTTGGGTATACCCACCGGCGGATTCGCCGAAGCCGTGGTCGAAACGGCGGTCTATCCATTGGGTCAAAAATGTCAATTTCACGCAGTGTTGTCAGTGACTGGACCAGAGCTGCTAGGTCTGTCACGCTATTGGTCGAATCGGTGAGTGTAGTCATTTGCGTAGCATCCAGCTCCAATCTCTTTACCATGACCCGGTAGTCGTCATATGCTCCCTGCGGGGGCGCAATGAGATGTCGGACAAGATCTTTTCGAGACTGTCTAGTGGCAAATATCGGCGGATTGCGATAGAGCGCTGTTAAGGCCGGTTTTGCGAATGAAGAGCACATCCTTGCCATTTGTACAAGCCAAGGTATCGCAGAAGTGGGTTTCATATTCTCGTCACGGAGTGGATGCGATGCATAGACGAATATCTGGAGGAGTACGTGATAGGGAAGCGCAGCCCATGTCTAGAGATTAAGATATTAGTATAACTGGTTACATGTATGAATATATCATGCTGGCCCCTCATTCGGGTCATAGCATCCCATAGCTGGTCTTGGGACATGGAATCAACTTACAGGTATGGATCCATCCGTGGGGATGTCTGTCACTCGCCACCCAACCTGCGCTTTCTCGTTCGGCGCAAGCGGTGCGCCCAGGACAGCACGTCTAGTGCGCCTGTCTCTCGATCCGCGCTTCTTTTGTATCTCAGATGACGGTGGCGCATTCGGTCTTGACCTTGTGCGCACCGCCATCACTCGCTCTTCCTCTACCTCAAAGTCCGCATCGGGGTCTTCTTCGTCTTCATCCGAGCTGATGTCTTTGTATGAAACAGCCCCTTTACCTCGTCTCCGCGGATTTCTAGAGGGTTGCTTGCGCTTGATTGGGATAGGCTCTGGCGATGCATGTTCGCTTTCACTCGAAACTTGGACGGCAGCGCGCATGCGACGAGTTGATCGGCGAGAGGGAACGGTTCGCTTTTGGGTGGTTCGCTCGTGGTCAGAACTCTCAGAAATGTCATCATCGCTGCTCGGTTCCTTATAGGAGACAGCGACTCGTTTCCGCTTTAGTGTTACAGCCATGTCGTACGGATTCTGGTCGAGTGACCTGGGGGAATCTAGCTGAAGAGATGGATCAGTGGCGACTTGGGCCTACATCGGACATTTTCGGCTCTTCAGATTGGCCGCCTAAACGCAAAGAGTGGTTCAAAGCATGTTTTGAGTGTGCAGTGACTGGTGGGTGGTGTTGCGAAAGCGAATCGGGGACTTGTATGCGGAGTAATCACGGAGGTAGGAGACATGAGATCATCCCCGACTGCTGGCCCAATGCAGTTTGGCGTTCGCTGATAACACGTGACATTTCCGATCACAACAAACTACCCAACAATAACCACGGTACAAGGACTAACAATAACCACAGCACAGGGAGACGCCCTCTCTGTCTGCTTCAGGCCGGAATAGAAAGAGACAAAGAGTTATGTGTCTGTGACAGCTGCGCATCATCATAATTGCGCTCCAACTCCTTCTGCAGGACCATCATCGCCGTTCAACTAAAGGGTGCGCGAAGTACCTAGTGTGCAAACAGTTTGGCCTAAGCTCATCAAATGCGCGTCTTCACCTCGAGTTCTCGCTTGTCTTAGAATGCCACTAAGCGGCTGCGACCTATGTGAGTGATCTAAGCTTCTTCCAAGTATACGCTGGAGCCATCTCTGATGCCCCTGGCGCGCTTGCAGAGCATGCCAGGACGGCGAGACAGGTTTTCCGGCAACATACTACTATACGACTACCTGTCAAGAAAACGAGCACCAATCTTCCTAAACCGAAATCTTACACAGATCCTGGATGCTCACGAGAATCTATTGAAGGGGGGTAATAGGAGCGGCTGTAGAACCCCGAATTTCGACTTTCGTTCCCAGTGGGAGCCCCCGTCCAGCGATCAACTGGACAAGATGATGGTTCAAGAGAATTACAAAGGTTCTTTCGTGCTTGAAGTGCACGCCATTGGTTCGCATCATGGACAGACGACTGCACATACAGACCGTGATCATAACCCTGCCAACAAAGTTCGGGTCTTGTTGCAGTTACTCAGCTCAATCAGAGTCTCAATCATCCCGCCATCTGACGTACCTGATACGCGCTCTTTTGCACACGAGGCTGTTCTAAAAGGTGCAGATAGAAGTCATCGAGAAGCCTCAGTCGAAACCAGTCCTATCATCCTGAAGCCGAGAGATTTCTCGGCCGAACCGGGAAAGATTAGCATCAACGATATGTACAGGATGATTCTGAGCGTCAATTTTGCAAGTCAAACGGACGCACAAGAGCTATACGGCTATCTGGGGCTCCCAGGGGAAACAGCTACACATCTGTCAACCTCATATCCCAACATTCTCGAGTGTCCACCAGATAAGATCAGTTTGCCACTAAAAGCAGCTGGAAAGCCACTTGGGATAAGTATACAGATAAGCATGTATTGGAACAGCACTGGACTTGGCGACTCAATCCTCACAAATCATAATCGTAACCTCAGAAGTGCCACAGAGCCACACAGCTCATACCCTACCCCACCACGCGATCTGGTACCGCGATACAAGCTAACCTACGTCTACGGAAACGAGACTCTTGAGCGATCAGACCTCGTCTGTCTGCATTGCTCCAGAGGCAAGAAGCTTAAAGAGATCCGCGATCTTGAAATGCACCTAAACGCCTGGCACGACAATTTTGCCTACCAACTCGTCCCAGCAGGAACCGATGCCAATGGCGTTGCACACTGGCGATTCATCAGTGAAGTCGCAGATTCAAAAGCTGACCAAAGAGCAAGCGGTCGTGCCGACGAACCCCGTGACGTACGCGTGCTTGCCCCGGACCGTCCTTTTGACAAACGCCGTTTCTTGGAGGGCGATGACACCTACCAACGAGCCGCCCGAGTAGAAAAGCATCTAAAATACCCCAAAAGAAAGCAAATAGCAGATATACTCCCACTTCCCGCACCACGCCAACGCAAACCCCCAAACGCCATACAGGAACGGCCCCCCAAACACAAAAAAACCTTCATCGTCCCCAAAGCACCACGAGGCATCACTTTCTTCCGCTCCCTCAGCAAGCGGCCCCTGCAACCCGGCGAATCCATAAGCGAAAGCGACGACGAACTCGACGAATCATGGATGCACCTACGCAAACATGCGGAAATAGACAAACACGACTTATCGCCACCTGCCCGCCAGTTCATCAAACTCTTCGACGACTTCATGCACGAGGAGAGTCTCCACGCCGACATCCACGCGGGCGACGCCATCATCCGCTTCGCGCGCCGTGGAAATCCCATATGGAACGAGGATTTGATCCACGAGTTTGTCAAGAAGCTGAAGGAGTTGTTGGAAGACGATGTTATTTCCAAAGAAGTTCACGATGCAGCTATTGAGATTGTGGAGGCGCAAAAGAAGACTAGTAGTAGTAATAACAACAGTAGTAGTGGTAACGACCTCTCGCAGCGCCTAGCGGAACTCAATGTCCAGCGGGGCGAGGACGCTGAGCCGCCATTCGATAAGTGCTATTGTGGCGGAGACGCGGCAGTGAGCCCGGGGATGCAGGGTATAGTTGCTTGTAGGAATATTGTAAGTCTGTCAGATCCCAAGAGTTATGCGGATACAAAGAAAGCTAATGAAGGGGACTAGGATTGTATACGGCGTATTTTTCATCACGCATGCATACAAAAGCACTCTAAATACAAAGTGCCAGCCCCGGACCCAAAGTCTTGGACCTGGATGTGTGATGACTGTAGAGACGAAGGTATTGCAGCTACTTAGCCTGAGGGGGGCTTTTTGGACACATATTTTTCCATTTAGCGAGGACGTTGGATTGGTCTTTTGGATTGAGATGGTTCTGTGGTTTGATTGAGTCTATGGAGTAGAAAAAGATGGTTTAATTAGGTGATTTGGAATATCGATTGCCCAGCGTGGCGTACAGTGAGCTGCTGAACTACAAGAATGTGTAATTGGTGTGCATAAATACAGCACCAATCGGATGTTTTGACGTCTGGTTGTTTACAGGACAGCGTCAGAGTGGAGCACGGCTTTCTCCGTTGTCATTGTTAAGTCTTTTTCTTCGATTCAGCAGGAGACAAGACCATTCGGAAAAGCCACCGAGTACGCGAAATACCTCGTTCCCATACGTACTCGAGTATGTAAAAATCTCGATCCTATACCCCAACTCCACACTTACCCGGCCTATACCACACATCTTATACGGACGCCTCATCCCCTTTCACTTACCCGCGCTTCCCTAGGTCCGCCGCAAATTGGTCTCCTTTCAGCCAAGGTCCGCCCTCCAAAGACTCCCTAATTCCTCGCCTCGCAATCCTTCCCACACGCGCTCGTCTATCCCACGATTCCAAGCCACCAAAAATCCCTAATACGCATGCCCCCTCCCCCAACTCTATCTTACCCGCGATCACACGACCATCGCTCCAATCAAGTCAAGCAAGTGTCAATCTCGCTTCCAAACACAACACGAACCCTGACCACGGCTCTATCTCTCAAAGCAGAAAAAAATCAGCAATGAAAAAATCTCACTTGTTGGTTTCGCATTCCGCACTTCCCAACCGGCTAACGCAGGTACCGGACGCGAAACAATAAAACCCTTTTCGGTCATGTATGACATTGACGCTTTTCCCCCTTCCCCTCTCCCACTCCAACCTCCCCTTTCCCAAAAAGAGGGAAATGGCAAGTTATGTGCTCCATGCCTACAAAGGGAAAGTCCAAGCAGGCTCCCCCTACGGCCGTACCGGAGATCTACAGTTTGCTTTTGGGATAAGATGGGACACCCCACCCTTCCCCCTTGTCAGCCGCAAAGAAAGAAAGAAAAAAGGGCAAAAACGACGGAGACATGGGTCCGTAATCGCGAAAAGTATGTACGCAAGAGCGAAAGAAGGGAAAGCGCGTGAAAGAATTCGGTAAAAAAATGGCACGACATGGGTATGGTTCAGAGAGAGAGAGAGACTGAGTCAGCCGCAAACGAGGCGAGCGGAGCGGAGAGAGCGGAGCCACCTCCCCCCCCCCTCCCCTCTCCCGCGAACTCTTCGCGATTATACCTGTATGCGGGTTGGATAAGCAAAAAGCAGCAAGGGTAACACACGGATTATATGATCGCCGGGTATGGAAACGGAGAAGGCGCGGGAATTGCGGAAAGGAAGGGAAACAAACTGGGTTATAATGGACACGGTGTTAAGGGCAATTTTTATTTTTCTTCTTGATAAAGTGGTTTGTTTCAAGTGCCGGAATGGGGTTAGAAGGGGTATGCGGTAAGAATGTAAGCGCTAGTAAAGAGACAGACAGGCGGTGGATGCGTGGTGGTGCACCTAGAAGGAAGGGATGCGTGGGAAATACTAGGCACGTACCTGTTTTGTATACGACAAAACAGGCCATTTTTGCTTTCCTTTGCGCTTTCATGCAAGCTTTAACGATGCGAGATTACTATGCTGCAGCTGGGCGGCCTGACAGTTGCATCGCAGAATTGAACAAGAAAGATGGCGGTGGCGGCGAGTCCTGCTTTCCCTTCACCTGCGTTACGCGTAGTACTAGCTACCTGGCGGATCGACGGCGAGAGAGAGAAGGAAGAACATATGGTCCATGCACACCTGCCAACTCATCTTCCCTTCTCCTTCCCTCTTCGTCTTCCACTGCCGAGACCATTCTCCCAGGAAGTCCCTTGTCAACAATGCTGAAACAAAACGCCCCAACCTAGATAATTTAGCCAGATTAACGGCAATTTTGACCATTAGCTCACAAAAGCCAAGGCAAGAGGGAGCGAATGGCGTGTTTCCGCTCAATTTGTTCGTCCGACTTCTCTGCATTGGCTCAAACAAGACAAGTATCGGTCGTATACGCATATTCAGCTGAAAACAAATCACCGCATGTCAAGGCAACGGGACCCAAGGAAAAAAAACCCCGTCTGATGCTAATCAACAAACCAATCGTTCCCGGGTTTGTAGTTCAAAGCCGGCCATTTCTCATGACGGGCCGATCCATACCACGGGCATCTTTCCATCCCTAGATATGAGAAACAAAATAATAAACAGAGTTTTTATTTTCCCTAGGTGGGCCCCCGGAGCGTTGGTATACGGGTAATTAATGGTCCTTCTTTTTTTCTGTTCTAAAATAGAATTCTCCCGTTGCCGATCGCGAGAGCGGACTATTTGCTTTTCTAGGGATAGATGATGAGGTAATGGTTCTCGAGCGGGGATCCAGAAAGTAAAAATAAAATAAAATAATGATGATGATAAGGACACAGTGCTTATTTCTCAGTCATGTATCAATTTAGGCCGCTTTTGCGAACAAGGGAACCCAACACAGCTTGTGAGGAACAACCTTTTAGTCTCACGATCGACTCGGGTTTGCGCGTCCGCAACCGCAATCGTGGTTTGTACAGGCTAAGTTGGTTGGATGGCATGTGTCTGTTTTGGTTTTCAGCGTTGGGACTTGGTCGATGCGTGCATGCATTGGCGTCATGTACACTCCCTTTTCGCTGCAGAAAGTTGTCGGCAGGCCTAAATTCGTGGCCGTAACATGCAACTAGTCATTCGCTCGCCAGTTGCTCAACCAATACTTGCTGCTCGCTGCCCCTACTCCTCCCAACCACCTCCTTTTTCTGGCGGACAAGGCTCATCGAGGTCAAGACTCGTAGGTGTAATCGATTGCCATGTTGGGATGACATTCTAGAGGGCGCTTAGATGCAGTTCGCCAAATCTTCTTGCGCAAAGTAGCATAAACACCCCTGTAAGTACGGTCATGCGTATCGAGCAGAAAAGTGGGCGATAGTGGTACCAGAGCTTGTAAGATATTCCTGAGTGAAACAAGACCCCGTTGCTTGTGTCGCGCGCCGGTGTTGATGCCGCCATACCCCACCCGATTCGTCTTCCCAGCCACTTTCCTATGCTGCTTTCCTGGTCAGCCTGCAGGCACTCGACGTCGTGAAAGGCTCATCATCGATGACTGAATGGTCGAGACACAACTAGGTTCACGGACAGAGGTGAAGTATCACATGGTACGGGACATGTTTTTTCTCCAAACAATGGGAAACTTGTGTGCTGATTGGCCACGGCCGGTTCTACTGTTGATGCTGTTGCTAATGGGTGCTTTTTAGGTACAGAGGCCGTGATGCAGGACTTATTGAGAAACCATCTATCGTACAAGTAGTGAGAAAGAAATTGACCAAGGAAAGCACCCGATTGCCGGAAAAAGAAAATGCGGGCTCTGGACTCGTTAAGACGGCGGATGTAAAACATTACCTAGGTATGGGAGCCAACTTGTGCCCCAACCTTCATGAGCGTCGACGTGCAGTCAAACAAGAAAAGAACCAACGAATCTGGACAAGGAAATGAGCTTGAAGGAGAATACAATGATGGTGTGCTTGGGGGAACAAATAGCCCCAAAGCAACAGTAACCGCATGAACATGATAGTTGATGTATGCGCGGAATTGGCAGAGTATACCTTCATGGTTTCATGGCCATAAAGGTCATCGTAAGTGCATAAGTAAAATCGTTGACGGAACAGTTTCAAAACCAGATTACCGCCGTATGGTGCTTTTGTGACGAAGGAAATGCTGTTATATGCCAACCGTGTCTTTAAACGAGTGAGGTGTCGTAGTTCGTGCTTGAGTCTCTTCGACTCCTTCCATGCGGACATCCCTGTCCCTTGCTTCTGTTGAGGAAGGCAAAGGCGCAGAGTTTGGTGTGAATGCTGAATATGCTTGATTGCGACTAGGATCGCCCGATCCATATGTGAGGGGAGATCCCATGCCGGTGGGTGTATGGAGTTTCTCCAGCTCTAGCGGCTGCGGTCTTGCACGCCTTCTCTTTTCCGATGATGATTCTGACCCTTGTTCGACTCCAGTTTGTTGCTGTGGCGTCTGAACAGGAGGTGCTTGAGAAGAAGACGTTGTCGGAGGCGTGGTACGGTCGAGCGGTCGTGGATCTGGACCTAGTGGTGATTGTTCCGGTGGCCCCGTGAGAGATTGTCGCCCCCTTCTTGGAGGGGGATATACTTCGCCCCGCGCTGCAGCTTCTTGCGCTCTCTGTTGCGCCTCGGCCTTTGTCGGTCTTCCGCGCTTTTTCTTATGCGTCGGTTCGCCCGGCGGATGTACAGCTGGGGGATAGGCAGGACCGGCGGGTATATATTCTCCTGGGTAGGAATGAGGCGGGCGAGGTTGTAGCAGTCGCCCAACCGGGGTGGATGTCTCTGGCTGATGTGGTCGCTTCTTAGGGACCTCGGGACCTGGGTACATCATTGGGGCTGGTAAGTGAGGACGCCGGTAGTCTTGTCCGGGCACAGAGTAGGTTGCTGCAAGAGTATCGAATGCCATTTGACTAGAGCGAACAGACCGTCCTAAAGTACAAGTGTCGCATCAGTATTGAGCACTATGCAGGTGATTTGGGCATGGGATTGACAATTTGAATGAATAGTTGGGATGCGGTAACAGCAGAAGGGATAAGTGTCAGCATACCAGGAGGCAACGCCATGTCGTTCCATCGCGGCTGGATGTTGGCATCGCGTATGAAAGCAAAGAGAAGATGAGAGGGTACTTGAGCAGCTTTTAGCACTTCAGCTAGTAAGTATACCTGTAAAGGACAGGTCAGGTCAGTCATAGATTACAATGGGGACGAGTGCCACATGCCCATGTTTTGGAGGGGTACGTACCTTTTCGTGCTCTGCCCATGGTGGCTCGCGTGAGGGCTCCATGTCGTGATCCTCGAGACAATCGAAATAGGCGAGGGTGGAAGACTAAAAAGCAGCTACGGCAAAATCTCGCTGTATGTACGTATGCAACCAGACAAATCGAGCATCGATCACAAGGGCCGTAAAGTAAGTGGACCGGCGCGAAGAGCAACGCGCCCTCGCGCGCGGTTGTATAGCTGCGTCTACCAACAGAACAAACGAGAGTGCTGAAACGAAAGAGTAACGAGCGGTAGAAGAAGAGCACTAAAATCAAAGAAACCTGCGGCGGGCTCTGGTTGTCGGTTTCATGCCAGCAGGCAACAAGAGCGCGTCAAAGGGACCACAGCATGAGGCTGGGTCGAGATAATTAGGAGACTGCTTTGCTTGTCAGAGATTACTGGGAAGAGCCACCCGGTATGTTATACATTAGCGGATTTTGTCGAAAACGAATGGGAAAGCGGCTAGTCCCCACTTGCAGACTGTAGCTCCCAAGGCTTCCCGCACGGGGACCGTCTAAATCAGTGCTCGTCGCAAATCGATAACAAAGCCTAGGTATGTAACAGAGATCTGGCGGCGCTTTAACCCATCTCGAAAGCCCTCAGTGGATGTTCAGAAACGATTGCGCAAACCGATGAGCCAATCGCTAGTCATCTGGGCTGAGCCGTGTCTCACCAGCCGTGGAGGGTTTAGGCTGAGACCAAAGGGCCTTTCTTCCCTTGCACCACACGTCCCTGCCTGCCTCGTTTCCCCATGCTTACTTCTGCCTGTGTTGAATTACAAAGGCTGGTCAGTAAGGCATAGATGTACCGCGTTTTACGAGATAGCGGTCAAAGCAATGGCGACCATGTGCCAGTGTGTCGCGAGGCAGCAACAGTGGTTCGCGGCGTGCGTGCAATCTGTCAAGCGCGGTTCAGCGCGGATCGTCCAGAGAGCGTCGCGCCTAATGGGGGGCAGCGGAAGACGGCGCTGTAATCCCTGTCTCCAACGGTGCGATCTGTAATATCCTCCAAGGACCGGTACTAGCGAGATGGGCACCGAGAAGCACAAACGTCGCGGCTGCGCTGCTCGACTTTTTTTTTTGTTGGCTGCTCTTTTCTTGTGGCTGGCGGGCGGTCGTCAAGGCAAGGCTGATGCATCGACGCCTACTTACACCGTAGCTGCTACCATCTGCCGCATCTCTTGCATCGTATTCCGCGCGAAGCCACTTTTTTACTTGACCATCGGGAGCGGGCCGCGACTCGGCATGGCCTCCAATGATCATGACAGTAAGCCAGTCAGCCAGTCAGCCAGCCATTTGGAGGTAGGTGGAGGAGTCCTTTTCCATGGAGCGCGGGCCTCACGTCTCAGAAGACCCAGGCCGCGTCAAGGGGGGGGGCAGGCGACCTGGTGCAGGCGGCATGGATGGCTGTCGTGCCGGCATCATGGGTGATGGGGATTTAGGAGTAGGTAGCCGTTGGGTCAGAGTTTGCGCTAGTGTGCTTGCGGAGAGATACAGGCTGCTACTCGCTTAAGTAAGCCAATTACGGCCGTCTGCCAAGCCTCAAAGCTCCGTAATGAACTCTCCACCTTGCACTCTATCTACCGCTCGAATACGTAGACACTCGCGCCCGATGCTGCTCTCTGACGCATGATAGCACCCATGCCATGCACAGGCCGAGCGATCGGATGGATGGCGACGACGACAACAACAACGCCGACGCCGCTGTCCGGGATACATTGTCAGGACATGTACACTTACTAGTACATACGTACGTACGTATGTTGATACAAATATCCGTATGTACCCTATATACTTAGTATGTCCGCATACAGATAAGTAGTAGTATACATACCACATGCACGACGCTAGGTGCCCACGGGGTCAAGCCAAACTACTCTCTCCCAACCCAGCACGCTGCTGTCCTTTTCTTGAGACGTCATGAGCCGCTGATCGCTGATTGCAGCCCAAGCATGGACTCCAGTTCATTGTGGAAGCAAAATAAAGAAGGCCTTTTCTTTTTTGCCTACTATGCACAGCTAGCTGTATTGGG